CCACAATTCCATGCTCCAGAGATAACTACTAATAATAGATTGATATATATCCTTCTTGACATCTGTAAATATATAGAAGATCATGTTATACATGTGATTCTGAACCCTGGGTTTAAATAGTAGGTACAAAGGCGAGTGAGGCTGCTCAGAATGGTAGAGTGGAAAGATGGAAGAAACCTGGGCATCTGATGACATCACTGAGCCACTGAAGTAACCAACCCTGGAACCTCCTTTCACAAAACTTCTTGTTATTTGATATAATAAAGGTCCCTTATTGTTTAAGACACTTCTAGTTGAATTTTGTTGCTTTTGCCCAAAACATTCTAATTATAATTTCATTCTCCTAGATAATTCAGCCTATCTATAGTGAAGGCAAATATATATCTCCATGAATCTTATAATGAGGTAATACTTGGAATAAAATAAAAGCATATGCATAATGCTGTTACAGCAAGCTAAACCAATAAGCCTTGAAATTCTCATCATCAAATAAGTTAAAATGACTTCAGTTCTGCCAAACCCAATCCATTGTACAAGATGGTTTATTTTAAATATGCATGATATTAAGTTGAACCTTATGGGAATTAAGAGCCTAGAAACCCTAAGGAAAATTAGGCATTTAAAAAATGCCAGGTACCTAGTTTCTCTACATAGGTACTATTACTAATAAAAAAAAAACATATTTAATGAGCATTTAGCAGTATTCTTGCCTTTAGAATTCCATGGATAGAGGAGCCTGGTGGGCTACAGTCCATGGGGTGGCAAAGAGTTGGACAACTTTCACTTTTAGTAGGTATCATTGCTGTGCCAAGTGTTTTACACTGATTGATATACTCACAACAAACTTATGAGGCAGATGCTATTATATTCCCATTTTACAGATGAAGAAATTAAGGTGCAGAAAGGATAATCTGTCCCCAGTTAATCAAGTTCATATGTATAGTGCCATTTATAGGTCCTTGCCTCTCAGTCATATTTTAACCCATTCCATTCTGGCTTCTTCTACCCTTTTCTTCACTGAACTTTCTTTCAAATAAAAGTTCATGATAAGCTCCATTTTGGTAACTCAAAAGACACCTTTCAGTCTTTATCATGTTTAACCACTGTTGTTTTCTGTGGTTTTTCATGGTACTACTCTCTCCTGAGTCTACTCCCATCTCTCTGACCATTCCATCATAGTCTTATTTGGTGGAGCCTTTTCTGAGATTGTCAAAAAAGCAAGAGAGTTCCAGAAAAACATCTATTTCTGCTTTATTGACTATGCCAAAACCTTTGACTGTGGATGACAACAAACTGTGGAAAATTCTTAAAGAGATGGGAATACCAGACCACCTGACCTGCCTCTTGAGAAATCTGTATGCAGATCAGGAAGCAACAGTTAGAACTGGACATGGGACAACAGACTGGTTCCAAATCAGGAAAGAAGTATGTCAAGGCTGTATATTGTCATCCTGCTTATTTAAATTGTATGCAGAGTACATCATGAGAAATGCTGGGCTGGAAGAAGCACAAGCTGGAATCAAGATTGCCAGGAGAAGTATCAATAACCTCAGATACGCAGATGACACCACCCTTATGGAAGAAAACAAAGAAGAACTAAAGAGCCTCTTGATGAAAGTGAAAGAGGAGAGTGAAAAAGCTGGCTTAAAGCTCAACATTTAGAAGACTAAGATCATGGCATCTGGTCCCATCACTTCATGGGAAATAGATGGGGAGACAGTGGAAACAGGGACAGACTCTATTTTGGGGGGTTCCAAAATCATTGCAGATGGTGATTGCAGCCATGAAATTAAAAGATGCTTACTCCTTAGAAGGAAAGTTATGACCAACCTAGACAGCATATTAAAAAGCAGAGACATTTCTTTGCCAACAAAGCTCCATCTAGTCAAGGCTATGGTTTTTCCAGTAGTTATGTATGGATGTGAGAGTTGGACTATAAAGAAAGCTGAGCGCCAAAGAACTGATGTTTTTGAACTATGGTGATGGAGAAGACTCTTGAGAGTCCCTTGGACTGCAAAGAGATCCAACCAGTCCATCCTAAAGGAAATCAGTCCTGAATATTCATTGGAAGGACTGACGCTGAAGCTGAAACTCCAATACTTTGGCCACCTGATGCAAAGAACTGACTCATTTGAAAAGACCTTGATGCTGGGAAAGATTGAAGGTGGGAGGAGGGGACGACAGAGGAGAGGTAGTAGGATGGCATCACCGACTCAATGGACATGAGTTTGAGTAAACTCCGGGAGTTGGTGATGGACAGGGAGGCCTGGTGTGCTGTGGTCCTTGGGGTCGCAGAGTCAGACTGAGTGACTGAACTGAACTGAAATGAACTGAACTTTCTGAGATTGATTTTTAAAGCTTTTTCCTATTCCTCTTCTTCTCTTATACTCTGTCTGCAGGTCATTTCATTCATTCCCATAGCTTCAAATAATGATTTATTAATGATCCTAAATGTACCTCTAGCCCAGATCTCTATCCCAAGCTTCAAACTTGTATATATAACATTTCCACTTGAAGATATCAGAGAACCTCATACTTAACAAGTCCAAAACTAAACTCATCTTCCCCTCTAAATCTACTCTTCTGCCAATGTTCCATTTCTCCTTGGTACCACTATCCCATCAGTTGCCCAAGTCAGAGAGCTAGCAATCATCTCTGCCTCCATTGTGTCCTACTCTCCATCGAATCTATCACCAACTGATCCTACTTTTCAAATATCTCATGGATCTTCCCACTGTCACCACATTTGTCCAAGTTACTATCAGCTGTTTGCCAGAGTTACTACAGTTGCTCCTCTGATCTTGTTGCATCTACTTTTGTCCTCTTCCAGTCTACTTGCTACTCTGAAGCCAGGGTAATCTTTTAAAAGTGCAAATTTGATCACAGACTTAGATTGGTCTGTGATTTGTTCAATCACAGACTTAGAATTCTTCAATGAGTTTGCATTGAAAATAGGATAAAGTGGAAAATCTTTCCTTTTTTTTTTTTTCTGGCTGTACTGCATGGCTTATGGGACCTTAGTTTCCCTAACCAGGGTTTGATTTCAGGCCCTGGTGGTGAAATCCTAACCACTGGACTGCTAGGCAATTCCGAAAGTGCAAAATCTTTAAAATGACTTTTAAGGCCCTACAAGATTTTTCACAAGTTTACATCTCCAACGTCATTTCTCACCATTTCATCTTTACTTTCACTCTAGCTAGAATGGATAGAGGAAGAAAGATTTGTTTAAAGAACAGTTCTAATTTTCCCCCAATATACTATTATTGCATTTGTGGTAATAATGTTGAATATCATTTTATAAAAAGGAAAGTGCTCAGTTTTAAGGTTAGAAAGCAATATTTTAAAATAGAATCCAAGCTATAGCATTTCATTAAAATGTTCTATAGCTTCTATCATATTAAATTATATGAGAAATATATGAATAACTGTATATCAACAAAGCAGATAATCTAAAGGAAATGGACAAATTTCTTTTTTTTTAATGGACAAATTTCTAAAAACACACAAATTACCAAACTAACTCAAGAGGAAGTATAAAATCTCAACAGACCTGTTAACAAGTAAAGAGAGTGAATCTGTTTCCAAAACTTCCCAACAAAAAAAAGTCTACAGCCAGATAGCTTCACTGGTGAATTCTATCAAACATTTAAAGAATCAACACCAATCTTAATAAAACTCTGCCAAAAATATAAGAGGAGCAACATTCCCTAACACCTTCTATAAAGCAGCATTACCCCAATATCAAAGTCAGCAAAGATATTACAAGAAAACTATGGACCAATATCCCCTATGACTGTAAATGGAAAAATTCTCAACAAAATAATAGCAAACCAAATCCCATAGTACATTAAAAGGATTATACACCAAGACTAAGTGGGATCTATCCTAGGAATTCAAAGGTGGTTCAACAAAAGAAAGCCAAAGTAGTAAATCATATTAACAGAAAGGAGAGGAAAAAACAACATAATCATCTGAATAGATGCAGAAAAAGCCTCTGAAACAATTCAACATCCTTTGATGACAGAAAAAAAAAAAAAGACTCAGCAAGCAGGAGTAGAAAGGAATTCCCCTAACATGAAAAAGGGCATTTACCCAAACCTTCAGCTAATATCATACTCAATGATGAAAGACTGAAAACTTTCTACTTATGATCAGGAATAAGACAAGGATGTGTGCTGTTTAAGACAAGAGAGAAGTGGTGGTTGAATAACATTGTGAATTCACCAAATGCCCCTGAATTGTAACTTTAAAATAACTATGTGCTATATGAATTTCACCTCAACAAAATGATTCCATGGCTGATTCATGTCAATGTATGGCAAAAACCACTACAATATTGTAAAGTAATTAGCCTCCAACGAATAAAAATAAATGGAAAAAAATTTAAAAAAATAAAGAAAGAAATACAAACTACTATGTATAAAAAAAAAATGATTCCTAGAGTGAGACATTTATTCACTTTGGCTTACTGACGTACAAGCATATTTCCTATGTTTACAGGGTAATTAGTAGATGAGTTATCATTTAGAGATGGCATTATAACACCATGAAAAACAAACTATATTTTCAATTCAAGATAAATATGAGATAAAGTCAAACTATAAGCCTGAAAATTACCCTTGGAGAACTTACAAATTTCCCCCTCAAAATCGGATTGTTCTCTTAAAAATTGGAAACCAGATGGTTTTATATATAAAAACAAACCTCAATGTGAAATCCACGTGGGATTTAAAGCTTCGTTTTCCTGCAGCTGCAGCAGCTGCACTTACATAACTGCAGTCAGTGTGATTATTTTTCCTTCACTAATGTTTAGAACAATGTTTCTCAAAGTGGAAACCTGTTTAGAAATGCAAATTCTCAGGCCCCACCCCAAAACTCCTGAATCATAAACTCTGGGGTTGAGGGCCAGTAATTTGTTCTAACAAGTCTTTCAGATTCACACTCAAGTTTGAGAACCACTGGTTAACAACAATAGCACACATCTATAAGCATTTTCTTACCAGACTGTGTTGTATTATACATGTTGCACTGTTTCTTCCAGTTCTTATTGAATCAGATTGTAACACTTGTGAATTATCACTAAGAAGAAAAGGAAAACATTTGTCATTTAAAGTTCATTACAAAACTGTTTTTAAAGAAATAAGATTTCAAATCCTTAAACAACATTGCCATTGAAGTAAATATCTTCTTCGTGGAGACAGCTGTGCAGATGTAGAAAATAAAACATGCATGCATACACACACACACAAATCCTTAGTTGACTGAACCTAAACAAGTGTCCATGTAAGGTAAGGAATTCTCAAGCATGCCATTTTACCTCTAATCATGCTACCAAGAATAAGTATAAATTACTGTGGCCTTAGAGATACATCATTTTCTGTGTAAACCTGTAACCAATTTAAATTTGTGATTGAAGCTATTATGTGCTAGTAGCAATTTCCTCTGAACTCAAACTTTCACATGAATGAGAGGGAGAGCCACTAGCAGGGCCAATAGAACTGAGCTTTTCAGATATGTTTCATTTGGCCTGCTGCTGCTGCTACTAAGTCGCTTCAGTCGTGTCTGACTCTGTGTGACCCCATAGATGGCAGCCCACCAGGCTCCCCTATCCCTGGGATTCTCCAGGCAAGAACACTGGAGTGGGTTGCCATTTCCTTCTCCAATGCATGAAAGTGAAAATTGAAAGTGAAGTCGCTCAGTCGTGTCCGACTCTTAGCGACCCCATGGACTGCAGACTACCAGGCTCCTGTGTCCGTGGGATTTTCCAGGCAAGAGTACTGGAGTGGGGTGCCATTGCCTTCTCTGTCATTTGGCCTACCCAGCGTTAAAAATGTTTTTTAATTAGCTGTGCACACTTGGAACAACTATGGAGATTTCACATAAAGAATTTGGATTCCAGGTTTCTGGCTTCTACTGAAATTTTGCAAGATTTTGCCACACTGGGTCACATTCCCCCATGGCAACAATGTACTAAGCTGAGCAACCACTGCCTGCTGAAGACATTCCTAGTTCCATCAGCTTTGAAAGTGCCTACTTAGCCAGCCTTGACCTGATTAAAGCTTGCGACCCTGAAGAAATCTTTTCCTATTTATGTTTTCATTTTGCTATAACTTTAGAAACATTTTTATTTTATATTGGACTCTAGTTGATTTATTTTTTATTTTTTTCTAGTTAATTTAGAATGTCTTAGTTTCAGATATACAGCAAAGTGATTCAGTTATACATATATATATATATCTTTTTTACAAATTCTTTTCTCATTTAGGTTATTATAGTATATTGATGAGAGTTCCCTGTGCTATACAGTAAGTCCTTGTTGGTTGCCTACTTTAAATACAGTAGTATGTTGTTATAACTTTTTTTTATTTTGAAACTAAGACTCACAAGAAATTGCAAAAAGAATATAGAGGGTCCTTGTGTACCTTTCATCCAGGTTTCCCTAATGATAATAAAAAACTATCTTTAACATGTTCTTTTCCACCCCCTATATCCAATTCAGTGCCAGTTCTTTTAGGTTTTACCCATAATTTTTCATGTCCATCATGCTTTCCAGGTTCCTTGCTAAAAACCAATTCAAAGCATTCTTACTTTTCCACCGACTCTGTAATAGTCTAATTGTTCAGCTCACCTCTGTTCTTTTCCTACTGCAATCAGCTTGCTCTCCTGCTTACCACTTTCAGTGATTCTCTTCATTGCCTGCTGAATTCAGTTGCATTCTTTAATATAACTGTTGGGCTTCCCTGGTGGCTCAGATGGTTAAGAATCTGCCTGCAATGTGGGAGACCTAGGTTCAATCCCCGGGTTGGGAAGATCCCCTGGAGGAGGGCATGGCAACCCACTCCAGTATTCTTGCCTGGAGAATCCCCATTGATAGACGGAGCCTGGTGGGCTACAGCCTATAAGTTCACAAAGAGTTGGACACAACTGAGCAACTAGGCACACACACTATAACTTTCAAAGCCCTCCACAGTTTAGCTCCACAGACTTTTGGATTTCATAGACTAGGAAAATTTCAAAACAAAATCTTGGCACAAACACGCAGTTGCATTTTCTCTTGCCAAGTAAGGTCATTTAAAAAAAAATCTCATCAACTACCATCATTTCATTTATAAAAGGGCATTTTGTTATTTTAAAAAAAAGCAGGACTGACAATCTGAGTAATATACAGTAATGCCCAGGAAAGTATGCTGTATTTAACTTTTTAAAACCATGGATTTGGTAGAATGTCACCTGGGATCAGCACTGGTCAGTAGGTAAACATTTGGGAGCCAGTGATCCCGGCAGAGTTGACCAGCATTCTGGAATACACCTATACTTTCCTACTTCCAAGCCTATTTCATGTTCTTGAAATGCTATTCAGTTACCTGGCCCCCTTTCTTCCAGTCTGCTTCCTATCAATCTAATTGTTAGGACCCATCTTAAGTGCCATCTATCCAAGAAACTTTCCTGTATTCTTCACCAATCCTGCTGTCATTTCTAACTCCCTTCTTTTAATTACCCTAGCACTTTCTTTCCCTTCTAAGCACAGATCTTATTCGACCATACATTTAAGTCTTCTCAGTATTCACTTTCCCTATTAAAAGCTTATGGAGCCTTGAGATACATCTTTGCAGTGCAGTAATTTGCAGTAACAATATTTATGAGAGGATATGTATATATGTGTATTTTTACTTCCTTTCCCAGTCATTTTCCCCTACAAGAACAGGAATATATTTTAGCAGTTACTACTAGGAAGTTGAAGGGCTTCCCTGGTGGCTCAGAGGTTACAGCTCCTGCCTGCTATGCTGCTATGCGGGAGACTTGGGTTCGATCCCTGGTTCGGGAAGATTCCCTGGAGAAGGAAATGGCAACCCACTCCAGTATTCTTGCCTGGAGAATCCCATGGACTGAGGAGCCTGGTGGGCTACAGTCCATGGGGTGGCAAAGAATCGGACATGACTGAGCGACTTCACTTGCACTTTCACTATGAAGTTTCAGGGTCACTAATGGGTTGCATATTTCCACTGTCTTTTGCATGTGGGAGGTAATTCTTTTTAAAAAAAATTTTATTGGAATATAGTTGATTTATAATGTTGTGTTAGTTTCAGGTGTATAGCAAGGTGAATCAGTTATGCGTGTACATGTATACACTCTATTTTAGATTCTTTTCCCATATAAGCATTACAGAGTATTGAGTAGAGTTCTCTATGCTATACATTAAGTCCTTACTAGTTATCTATTTTATATATAGTAGTGTGTATATGTCAACCCCAAACTTCCAACTTATCCCTTCCCTCTGCTGAGATAATTCTTAAGGCTGACAATTACACTCTCCCCTAAATTTTTGTCTGCCAATTTTATTTAATAAGACTATAACTGAAAAGTGAAAAAGCTGGCTTAAAACTCAACATTCAAAAAAAATAAGATCATGGCATCTGGTCCCATTACTTCATGGCAAAGAGAAGGGGGAAAAGTGGAAGCACTGACAGATTTTCTCTTCTTGGGCTCCAAAATCACTGTGGATGATGACTTCAGCCATGAAATTAGAAGATGCTTGCTTCTTGGAAGGAAGGCTATGACAAACATAGACCATATAATAAAAAGCAAAGACATCACTTTCCCAACAAAGGTCCATCTAGTCAAAGCTATGGTCTTTCCAATAGTCATGTATGGATGTGAGACCTGGACCATAAAGAAGGCCGAGTGTCAAAGAATTGATGCTTTCTAACTGTGGTGTTGGAGAAGACTCTTGAGAGTTCCTTGGACAGCAAGGAGATCAAACCAGTCAATCCTAAGAGAAATCAACCTTGAATACTCATTGGAAGGACTGATGCTGAAGCTGAAGCTCCAATACTTTGGCCACCTGATGCAAAGAGACAACTCATTTGAAAAGACCCCGATGCTGGGAAGGATTGAAGGCAAAAGAAGAGAGCAGCAGAGGATGAGATGGTTGGATAGCATCACCAATTCAATGGACATGAACTTGAGCAAACTCCAGGAGAGAGTGAGGGTCAGGGAGGCCTGGCGTGCAATATAATGAGATAATGTTTAAATGATCAGTAAGCAGCTCTGTCTAAACTGCACTATATTTATGCCAGTTACATCCCTAAAGCAATAACTCTTCATGACCATTATTCTTCTTCCAGGTTTGTATTAATACAAGCTTATTAAACCAGTGTGCATATGCTCAGTCTCTTTAGCCATGTCCATCTCTTTGCGACCCCATGGACTGTAACCCACCAGCTTCTCTGTCCATGGGATTCTCCAGGCAAGAATACTGGAGTGGGTTGCCATGCCCTCCTCCAGGGGATCTATATGGTTGATAAAGCCTGTAAAGGTCCAGACAGTAAATATTTTGGGCTTCGTGATCCATACAATCTTTGCTGCAATTACTCAACTCTGCCACTGTAGTACAAAGTGGCCCAAAGATAGTAAGTAAACAAGGGGGTGTGGCTATGTTACAATAAGACTTTATTTGCAAAACCAATCAGTTTGGCCCCCAGGCAATAGCTTGTCTTTCAAACAGAACTAAGGGCATTGACAGTTTAAATGTAGGGTCAGACTGCTGCTGCTGCTAAGTCGCTTCAGTCAGTTGTGTCTGACCCTGTGCGACCCCATAGACAGCAGCCCACCAGGCTCCTCCGTCCCTGGGATTCTCCAGGCAAGAACACTGGAGTGGGTTGCCATTTCCTTCTCCAATGCATGAAACTGAAAAGTGAAAGGGAAGTCGCTCAGTCGTGTCCGACTCTTAGCGACCCCATGGACTGCAGCCCACCAGGCTCCTACGTCCATGGGATTTTCCAGGCAAGAGTACTGAAATGGGGTGCCATTGCCTTCTCCGAGGGTCAGATTAGCAGTATTTAAAGAGGGAAGGCACTGGCAGAAATCCAAGAACTTAATCTCTAATTCTAATAAGGGCCTAATAAGGGCCAGAGAAGTAGAAGAAAAAAATACCTTTAAATAATATCATTGACACCAGTAGTGAAGTCAGCCACCTCGAGGGGCTAAAGATAGAATCAAGAGGTTCAAAACTTTTGACATTGATATTTTTATTAATACAAGATGAGTACAAAACTGTACAGGAACTTAAGAAATAGTGATGTTTACATTAAAGAGTTGACATTTACACAACAAATTCTGCAAATGCTGGTGCAAGGAAGACGGAGAGTCTTTATACATAGTTAACATCAAGCAAAATTAGAAAAGTGCTTGAAAGAAGTGCAACAATATTTAGTAAGCTGTGAAAGAGGCAAGGCAATGAGTATGAGAGGCCAACTAAAATAAAGTGCAGTGAGCAGTGGACATACTCCACTGAAAAGACTCTGCAAGAAAATGAATGCAACTAAGGCTCGGTGTAATTCTGCTCAAAATTGTTCTTGTTGATTACATACTAAGCTTGTCACAACAGGACAAAATATGCCCTCAGATCACTTGGACAAGTTCCTTGACCTCAGGCATGTCATCTATCATTCCTATGCTACTTCTTCTTGATAGACAAGAGTCCCTGGACTTCGTCTATCTTTCGGGTTAATTCCTACTAGAGAAATATGCAACTGCCCTTCACCTTTCTGTACAAAACTTCATGTCCAGCATCAGGATCTTAAGCTATGGGGTTCTACACTGTAACCATGCTCTAATATAATAAAAATTTCTAATCTTTTGCAGAACAAAGCAAAGTATGAAGGGATAACTGTGATCACTCTCTTTGTTCCCAGGACTTTGAGGATTGGGAAAAGGGACCTGGTCAGCTGCCCCCCACCCCCTGCCTCAGCACTTAATATATTAAATAGGATCCACATGTTCCTGCAAATATATATCCTCCATCATCTACATATTTGTGACTTGTTTATTTCATAGAGCTTTTCAATAAAATGAACATTTCCAAGCATTTTCTTCTACTAGCAGAGTGCACCCATAACAATTCATTTATTCACACAACAGTATTTAAGAGTAGAATCCTGAATTTATAGCATGTTCTTGTTCTCAGTACAACATGCAGAGCTGTCCCCAGCCCTTATTTTTCTATCTGCCTATTTTAAAAGGTAATGTATTATTTTCAGATCACTCTTAGTTTGTTTTTCATTTTGTTAGAACATATTCTCCCTTAACTCAAAAGACCAGAAAGCTGCATGTATTTAATTAATCAGTTTAGATATTGATTAGTAGTGGACAAAGCACTAGCTTAGGAGTCTGGAGCCACAGCTTCCTAGTACTGATCGATTACTGACTATGACATCTTGGAGATAAACGGGCCTGTTAGACCATACATTAAACAAGGAGGGTAGATCTGGTCTCTTGAGTTCTCATCTAACAGTTGTGAATTACAGCTATCAAGTAGGATGATGCCAGCAAAAGGTGAGGTGCAAACTTAATAATTTTGCAGTGAATGAATTTTCCAGACATTTTTACAATATTGAGAAAAACTTATGATACTGGGATGTGAAACCCAAGATCTCATTTTAAAATTCTATTTTAAGAAATAAGGTTGAGTCAGGCCAGATCTTTGGATATATGCAGGAAATACAGGTAACCATCAGTTAATCTTTTAAACCTTTTTTCATCATCAGATCTCTAAAGAGTCTTTTTAGACATTTCCTCCCTCCTTATTAGCTCCTCTTCAAGAATTCCCACACAATTTTAATAGCACAAATATACTGTATATTATGTGCCATATATATATGTGTGTGTGTGTGTTTTATGCATATGAGAAAAAAACTTTCACCTGCCAAGAAGTAAGTAGGGCCAATATAGGTCATTGAGAATACAAAATTAGGAGATCAATTTTCTGTGATAGCTAAACTTTTTGTTCAAATAAAAACTAGGTGTAAAAAAGCCCCAAACTTATTTACTTGACAACCATTCCCACTCTGAGTGTGCTAAGGTGAAGGTCAGAGGTGACAAAGCAGACAAAGCAGAGAATGACAAAAATTACAGTCATTACATATCTGGAGGCGAGGATGGGGAGTACACAATTTCTCCAGTGGTGTGGGTAAGAGATGGGGTGAAGTTAGAGAGAGTCGTGCTCCACACCAAACAGTTGCTGCTTTTGGGTCCTCGATCTTGATGAACTGTCAGAAGAGGACGTCCCGTTTCATTTGTGCCCTTGCCCTCCAGCCAGCCCGTCCCCCTTGCCCGCCCCCCCCTCTCCCCACCGCTCCCAGGCTGAGAGTGGGATCTTCTGGTCACCAGGAGCAAGGGAGATAACCTGCAGAATCTCGATGAGTCAAGAAATGGAAATGCTATTGTAAGTCGCTTTCTTGCAACTCTTGCCACCCTTTCCCGCCCCCGCAGGCCTCCTCCAGTATCTCAATCCTGCTCACCCAAAGCCACTGATCAAAGGGGCGCTGCTGGATCGTCTCAAAGTGTTATCTTCTGTAGTGGTTGAACTCCGCAGCACCTCAAAATGTAGTTCCATTTTCTCCCGTGCTCTGTCCGTGCAGAAGCTTTGTTTGGAGCTCTCCGGTTTTTCTGGCTCCCGTTCACATAAGCACAAGTCAGCTAAGTAAGGAGATGATGTAGGGAGAGAGGAAAGAGGAACAAGAAAAGAGAGGACGAAGTTCTTAGACAAGTGCGTGCTCACATTTGCAGCCCTACCATCCCTAACACCAGTGGGCACAAAGTGGGACAGGACTGGCTCCGACCCTCCTAACACTGAGATCTCCCACCTCCAAGCCTATAACGAACATGAGGAGTTTATTGTAATCCGTGAATCCTCCTTTATTTCCCTCAGCCAAGGAAACCCGGGTAAGTCTTTCCGGTCAAAACAAAAACCATAACCCACTGCCTTGCAGAATATTTGGGCACTGCGCCCCTGCGCATGCGTCCTGGGTCCGGCCCGCTGACGCACATTTACTACGTAAGCAATGAACATTATTACAGGCGCCTATATCCGCCATGATGGGGGCGCACGCGCAGTAAAGGAGCCTTTTTCCGTAAGCCAGCTACTCTCTTCTCTCTCCCTAGTGCGAATTCACCTTGGTTGTTCCTCCTCTCCTCCCGTGTTAACCCTGGCATGGTTTCCTTAAGCATTATTTAGGCAAGAAATGATGGAAATAAGGTGTATGGGAGCCCCATCCTTTCTGCCCTAAGTCTAATACTCAGTTTTGGTTAGCTCATTGTCTCATGACTGAGGCTGACAAGCTTGCTACCTCCCATGAAGAATTTTTCCATCCTGTTACAAAAGACATCCTACACCTTTGCAGTGTAAAAAACACTAAAGCCTGGGGGTGGCGGTGGGGGCGAGGACCACCCGCTCTCAAAGGGTCCTGTTAAAGTCCTAACACAATTGAACCAATTGCGCTAATAAGTCATCCCGTGTGTGTGTGTGTGTGTGTGTGTGTGTGTGTGTGTTTTACCATAATCATGCAGTGTGTATTTTTTACATTGAATAAAATCTAGCTAAGAAGAAGGTAGGGTTAAAGCAAGGAGGCTTGTTTCTTTAAAATCTCAGAATTTAGTATCCATTCAAATCAGTGTTGCCATTTAACAATGTTACCATGGATTTAAACATTCTAAGAACTGCTCTTTTAGAATTTTTTTTTTTACCACCAGTTGAGTCACATTGAGTACTGAAATCTTAACTCCATGCTAATAATTTTGAAAAACCACCCATCTTAGGACCATATAGAGAAATGGCAGAGAAGGCAAGTGAAATGATTGAAATGGGAGTTATTAATTAGAACAGTCATAACACGGTATATCACTCTACAGTTTTAAAAAATGTTTTCACATATTTATCTCAATTGGTTCAATCGTTAACCCTGCTTGGCCAATCAGTGGTGAATTTAAAATAAATGGGATTATCTTGAAACAGTTCATGACAAGTTTATGTCATAAACATGAAAGATCATAGTCATTCTTCATTCTGAGAATAGAATAAGAAAAGTGTAATTGTATTAGGCAGAATTAGGTTACTTAAATCCGTGACGTGAGGATGATTTGGAGTCTCCATTCCTGATATAAGACAGGTTAACAATAGCTACCATTTGGGGGCCATTTATTATGTGCCAGGTACTGTCCTAAGCACTTGAAATATGTGATCACATTTAATGCTTACAGTAACTCTGTGAGGTAGGTACCATCACAATGCCCATTTTTCAAAGGAGGAAACTGAAGCTCAGAGGGATTACTCAAATTACAACTACTAAGTGGAAAAGCCAAGATTCCTCTGCTGTTCTATTTAAGTGAAAAGACAGACCAGGCGCCTCTGGATATTTCTCTGGACACTATTTCTGAACAAGTAAGCACTCAATAAATATTTATTAATTTTATAAATAAATACAGGTTTAAGTAACTTGCCCTTCATAACTATCTTGCAAATTAGGTAAATATTTTCTATTTTACAGTTGATAAAATTCCAGAGAGATTAATGGCACATAACTAGGTAGCAATAGAATCTGGGCTGGTACCAAAATTCCTGAAAGCCACTGTGGAATTTCCCAGGGTAAGCTGGAGAGTTTATGAAAGATGGCAGCTAAAACTGAGTCTTTACTCAGTCAGGGTGACTGCAGAGGCAGTTGTTAAATACAGAACTGAGGGTCAAAATGAAACCATCTGAATAAGATAAAAATATGGAGAACATCAGAGAACAAAGAGCTCTTACTTCCAATCTACTGCTTATTTTACTTTTCAAAGAGTTTGTTAATATTCTTGGCAGGCAATAAGGTTTAATGGATATACTGTGAATGAATAGACAAATCAAATCTCATCATGTCTAAACATTATGATATCTAGTTTTTTAAAATGGTCACAAAAGAGTTGGACACGACTTAGTGACCAAGCAACAACAAAGTACATAACACTAAGAAAACAGGCATAATGAAACAAGGAAAGAGCAACTAAGAGAGAGTTTTGAGAAAAGGGGTTAAGAATATGAAATGATTAAATACATGAGATAGCAATAAGTTTCCAGCTACTACCAAAAAGGAGGGATTCTCTAAGTTCAGCTATATGACAGGAACCTGAAACCTGTAAAAATAGAAACAGGACATACTCAAGTTGGAAAGTCAAAAGGAACAAGTACTACAAAAACAAAGATTTCTATATACTAGAGTGGCAAACACAGTATTTAAAGAAATTATTTTACTTCCCATTTTTACCCACAGATAATTATACCAACCTGGCTGTGTTCCCTGATCAACATTTGCTGTTCTGTAGTCATGTGCCATGATCTTGGGTTGTTGTTTTGCTTAGATGTATACCTTGACCCTTGTGGTACTCTTCATGTGTGTCCTGATCTGCTGTCATCTGCCCCTTGCCTCTTTCCTGTAAAAGGTCTTCCACAAACATTTCATAATCAGCTCTTTATTTTGTCCGTTGTCATGGCAACTTTAAAGCAACATGTTAGCCTTTAGTTATCACAAGAGCAATACAAATACAAGTTGATCCCAAGCCCACAAACCACAAACACCCCAAACCTTTCAAAAGATTTACATAAAGAGTAAAGGAAACTAGGTAGGCAAGAATGATATGAATAATGAACAAAACCTGAAAATGATGGTCAAGATAGCACCTGTCTTCTCACATATCCTTGAATTTCTCTTGATTGTTCAGCCCCAGAAAGTTAAGGATTTTTTCAATTGTTCGGCTCTTCAGAATTAGGGACTGTGCACTTGGTCAACAAATGATTATTTGGTAGCTATTGTGAACAATAGAATGTACTATAATTTTTTTGAGCAGATTGGTGGGGAGTGGGGGTATGGCTGAAACCTTGAGATAAAAAAAGAAACATAATTTGATTAAAAAAATAACAAACCAGAGCTTGCATTTCTAATCCAGCTGGCAGGAAAATATAGGGAATTTAAAGGAAACTATCTTGTGCTTGCTTCAGCAGCACAAATATTGCAAATTGGAATGACAAAGAGAAGATTATCATGGCCTCTGTGCAAGGATGACATGCAAATGAAGTGTCTGATATTTTTTCACCTCACACTGCTCAGAATGGCCATCATCAAAACACAATCTACAAACAATAAATGCTTAAGAGGGTGTGGAGAAAAGGGAACCCCCCTGCTCTGTTGGTGGGAATGTAAATTGATACAGCCACTATGGAGAACAGTGTGGAGCTTCCTTAAAAAACTAAAAATAGAACTACCCTATGTTCCAACAATCCCACTACTGGGCATCAGTTCAGTTCAGTCGCTCAGTCGTGTTCGACTCTTTGCGACCCCATGAATCGCAGCACCAGGCCTCCCTGTCCATCACCAACTCCCAGAGTTTACTCAAACTCATGTCCATCGAGTCGGTGATGCCATCCAACCATCTCATCCTCTGTCATCCCCTTCTCCTCCTGCCCCCAATCCCTCCCAGCATCAGGGTCTTTTCCAGTGAGTCAACACTTCGCATCAGGTGGCCCAAGTANCTACTCCGCGCACCAGGTGACCTAAATGAGAAGGAAACCAGAAGAGAAGGGCTGTATGTGAGCGTGTGGCTGACTCACTTGCTGCATGGCAGAAAGGAACACAAGACTGCAAAGGAATATGTGCATGAGTGCTCAGTTGTGTCCAACTCTTTGTGACCTCAGGGACTGTAACCAGCCAGGCTCCTCCATCCATGGTGTTTTCCAGGCAAGAACCCTGGAGAGGGTTACCATTTCCTACTCCAAATGCAACCATACTCCAATAAAAATTAATTAAAAAAATAAAGATGATGCTTGAGTCCAAGTTATTATAATAGAAATGCCTAGATGGCAACCCACTCCAGTATTGTTGCCTGGAGAATCCCAGGGACAGAGGAGCCTGGTGGGCTGCCGTCTATGGGGTCGCACAGAGTCAGACACAACTGAAGCGACTTAGCAGCAGCAGCAGCAGATCCTTCGCCAACATTTTCCTAGTCTTAATGCATCATGATCAAGACCCAGGTGAGGCAAGAAACGGCTCAGGACACAAAATTTAAGTGGGCATGCACCCTTTGGCTCCTTCCAATGCAGGGTAGGTGCTTGTGTTGTGTACAATCAGATGATAAGACTCCAAGATATAGGATCTCTGTGGACAAATATCTCAGAACTGGGGCAAAGGTGACATCTATAGGCTCAGTCTTCCCATAACTCCAAATCATCCACCTGCTACTTGAAAAAGATGATGAAATACAAGAATGCTTAAAACATTCAACTCACATTTAATATCATTGAGTCAGCTGTGGGATGATAAAGATCTTACTTTCATAATACGTAAGTGAAATAGCGTATAGCACACAGCTCAGATCAGAGCAAGGTCACCTGAATTCAGATCCTTGACTGCATCCCAGTGTTCACTGCAGCACTCTTTACAATAGCCAGGACACTGAAGCAACCTAAATGTCCATCAACAGATGAATGGATAAAGATGTGGTACATATGTATAATGGAATATTACTCAGCCATAAAAAGGAGTGAAATTAGGTCATTGTAGTGATGTGAATGGACCTAGAGTCTGTCATACAGGTGAAGTCAGAAAGAGAAAAACAAATATCATATATTAATGCATATATATGGAATCTAGGGGGCTTCCCAGGTGGTGCTAGTGGTAAAGAAGCTACCTGCCAATGCAGGAGACATAAGAGACCTGGTTCTATCCCTGGGATGGGAAGAGCCCCTGGAGGAGGGCATGACAACCCACTTTAGTATTCTTGCCTGGAAAATCCCATGGATGGAGGAGCCTGGAAGGCTACAGTCCATAGGGTCACAAAGAGTTGGACATGACCAAAGTGACTTAACACACACATGGAATCTAGAAAAATAATACAGATTAACCTATTTTGGGGGAAGTAATAGTGATGCAGATGTACTGGACATGTGGATATGGTGGGGTTAGGAAGGGGAGGGTGGGATGAACTGGAAGAGTAGCATTGACATATGCACACTGTTGTTCAGTCGCCCAGTCCTGTCTGACTCTTTGTGACCCCATGGACTGCAGCATACCAGGTCTCCCAGTCCCTCACCATCTCCTAAAGTTTGACCAAGTTCATGTCCGTTGCATCAGTGATACATCCAGCCATCACATCCTCTGACGCCCTCTTCTCCTTCTGCCCTCAATCTTTCCCAGCATCTGGGAAATGAGTTAGCTGTTTGCATCAGATGACCAAAACACTGGAGCTTCATCCTCAGTATCAGTCCTTCCGACGAGTATTCAGGGTTGATTTTCCTTAAGATTGACTGGTTTGATCTCCTTGCTGTCCAAGGGACTTTCAGGAGTCTTTTCCAGCACCAAAGATTGAAAGCATCAATTCTTTGGCATTCTGTCTTCTTTACTGTCTAGCTCTCACAACTGTACATGACCACTGGGAAGACCATTGTTGTTCAGTTGCTCAGTGGTGTCCAACTATTTGTGACCCCATGGACTACAGAATGCCAGGCTTCTCTGTACTTCACCATCTCCTGGAGTTTGTTCAAACTCATGTCCATTGCATCAGTGATGCCATCCAACCATCTCATCATTTGTCATCCCCTTCTCCTCCTGCCTTCAATCTTTCCCAGCATCAGGGTGTTTTCCAATGAGTCAGGTCTTTGCATCAGGTGGCCAAAGTTTTGGAGCTTCAGCTTGAGCATCAGTCCTTCCAATGAATATTCGCCATGACCTTTGTCAGCTGAGTAATGTCTCTGCTTTTAAACACACTGTCTAGGTTTGTCATAGCTTTCCTGCCATGAAGCAATTGTCTTCTGACTTCATGGCTGCAGTCACCATCCGCAATGTTTTTGGAGCCCAAGAAGAGGAAATCTGTCACTACTTCCACCTTTCCCCCTTCTATTTGCCACGAAGTAATGGGGGTGGATGCCATGATCTTAGTTTTTTTAATATTTAGTTTTAAGCCAGTTCTTTCACTCTCCTCCTCGACCCTCATCAAGAGGCTCTTTAGTTCCTCTCTGCTTTCTGCCATTAGAGTGGTATCATCTGCATACCTGCCTGCAATTTAGGAAACCAGGGTTCTATTCCTGGGTCGAGAAGATCCCCTGGAGAGGGAATGACAACCCAAACCAATATTCTTGCCTGGAGAATTCCATGGACAGAGGCGCCTGGCAGGCTACAGTCTATCAGGTTGCAAAGAATAGGACATGACTGAGCGACTAACACACACACACACACACACACACACACACACATCTGAGGTTGTTGATGTTTGTCCCACCTATCTTGATTCCAGCTTGTAACTCATCCAGCCCAGCATTTCTCATGATGTGCTCAGTGTATAGGTTAAACCCACAGGGTAACAGCAGACAGTCCTGTCGTTCTCCCTTTTCAATCTTGAACCAATCAGTTGTTCCATACAGGGTTCTAACTGTTGCTTCTTGACCCACATACATACAGGTTTCTCAGGAGACAGGTAAGAAAGCCTGGTATTCCCATCTCTATAAGAGATTTCCACAGTTTGTTATGATCCTCACAGTCAAAGGCTTTAGCATAGTCAATGAAACAAAGGTATATGTTTTTCTGGAATTACTTGGCTTTCTCTATGATCCAGTGAATGTTGGCAATCTGATCTCTGGTTCCTCTGCCTTTCCTAAACCCAGCTTGGACATCTGGAAGTTCCTGGTTCATATAATGCTGAAGCTCAGATGCAAGATTTAAGCATGGCCTTACTAGCATTGGAGATGAGTGCAATTGTTCAATGGTTAGCACATTCTTTAGCACTACCTTTCCTGGGAACTGGGATGAGCATTGACCTTTTCCAGTCCTGTGGCCACTGCTGGGTCTTCCAGATTTTCTGACATATTGAATGCAACACCTTGATGGCATCATCCTTTAGGGTTTTGAATAGCTCTACAGGAATTCCATCGCATCCACTAGCTTTATTTCCTAAGGCCCACTTGACTCCAGAATGTCTGGCTCTTGGTGACTGACAACACCAGTCAGTACATTAAATCTTTAATTTAATCAATCCAGTACATTAAAATCTTTTTTGTACAGCTCTTCTGTGTATTCTTTCCATCTCTTCTTGATCTCTTTGGCATCTATTAGGTCTCTACCACTTCTGTCCTTTATTGTGCCCATCTTTGAGTGAAATGTTCCCTTGATATTTCCAGTTTTCCTGAAGGGATCTCTAGTCTTTCCCCTTCTGTTGTTTTATTCTAGTTTCATGCACTGTTCATGGAAGAAAGCCTTCTCTGTGCTGTTCTTTGGAACTCGGAGTTTAGTTGGATGTACCTTTCCCTTTCTCCCTTGCTTTCACTTCTCTTCTTTCTTCACCTATTTGTAAAGCCTCCTCAGATAACCACTTTGCCCTCTTGCTTTTCTTTTTCTTTGGGATGGTTTTGTTTGGTCTCCTGTACAATATTATGGACCTCCATTCATAGTTCTTCAGGCACACTGTTAACTAGATTTAATCCCTTGAATCTATTCATTACCTCCGCTGCATACTCACGGGGGATATGATTTAAGTCGTACCTGGCTGGCCTCATGGTTTTCCCTGCTTTAGTTTAAGCCTGAATTTTGCTATGAGAAGCTGATTATCTGAGCCACAGTTTTTGCTGACTGCATACAGCTTCTCCATCTTTGGCTACAAAGAATGTAATCAATTTGATTTTGGTATTGACCATTTGGTGATGTCTATGTGTAAAGTTGTCTCTTGTGTTGTTGGAAGTGGACATTTGCTATGACCAGTGCATTCTTTTGGCAGAATTCAGTTAGGCTTTGCCCTGATTCATTTTGTTCTTCAAAGCCAAACTTGCCTGTTACTACAGGTGTCTCTTGACTTCCTACTTTTGCATTCCAATGCCCAATGACGAATAGAACATCTTTTTTTTTTCCTTTGGTATTAGTTCTATGCAGTCTTCTAGGTCTTCATAGAACTGATTAATTTCAGCTTCTTGTGGTAGGGGCATAGACTTGAATTACTGTGATGTTGAATGGCTTGCCTTGGAAACAAATTGAAATCATTCTGTCATTTTTGAGGTTGCACCCAAGTACTGCATTTTGGACTCTTGTTGATTATGAGGGCTACTCCATTTCTTCTATGGGATTCTTGCCCACAGTACTAGATATAATGGTCACCTGAATTAAATTTGCCCATTCCCATCCATTTTAGCTCACCAATTCCTACTAAAAAGTCGATGTTTATCCTTACCATCTCCTGCTTGACCACATCCAATTTACCTTAATTCATAGACCTAACATTCCAGGTTCCTATGCAACACTGTTCTTTGCAGCATTGGATTTTACTTTTATCACCAGATGCATCCACAACTGAGTGTCGTTTCCACTTTGGCTCAGCCGCTTCATTCTTTCTGGAGCTATTAGTCGTTCTCCTCCACTCTTCCCCAGTAGCATATTGGACACTACCATGTGTAAAATAGCTAGTGGGAAGCTGCTGCATAGCACAGGGAGCTCAGGTTGGTGCTCTATGATAACCCAGAGGGGGACTCAAGAGGGAGGGAATCTTTTTCTGGTTACTTATTCTTATTTATTTATTTTTGGTTATGCTGGGACTTCGTTGCTTCAGGAGGGCTTTCTCTAATTGTGGTGAGCAGGGGCTGCTCTCTGGTTGTGGTGCAGGGAATTCTCGTTGCAGTGGCTTCTCCTGTGGTGGAGCATGGACTCAGTAGTTGTGCTGCATGGATTTACTTGCCCTGTGGCATGTGGGATCTTCCCGGACCAAGGATCAAATCCGTGTCCCTTGCACTGGCAGGCAGATTCCTATCCACTGCGCCATCAGGGAAGTCCTAAGAAGGAGGGTATGTATGTATAACTATAACTGATTCACTTTGTTGTACAGCAGAAACTAACACATTGTAAGGCAATTGTACTAATAATAAAATTTTAGAAATAAAGGAAACTATCTAAAAGTGGTTTAAAAACTCCCATTTTATGAACATAACATATAAGCATTGAAGAATAAAATGACAATTGAGCTTGGCAAGTTTAATATGGTACAACTAAGTTGAAGAAGTTCATAAAATTATTTCTGCAAAAGATAATTTTTCTTTTTTTAAATTTCCTTTTTAAGTTTCCTGTACTTTCTAGGTATGTATGATTAACACAGTACAGTGGCCATCTCTCTCCCAGGGTCCTTCAAGTGGTGAGGATTCAATGAGTTAATATTTCTAAAGCTCTTAGAATATTGCCTAGTACACAATAACTGCTATGTAGGTGTTTAATAAAATAAGTTTGATTCCGGGTCTCACATAAGCTGAATCATGACTGTTAGTCTCCATAAAGCCTAGAAAGAAAAAAAGAAATTCTGGTTCTGTTACGGTTCTTCAGGACTTTCCCTGATATACTGCATAATGGAGGTGAGTGCTTCTGATTAACTATAGGAACTCTCATTGGATTCTCTTTATTTTTACCCCATTGCTTTTGTCCATTCACTTCCTTTGGTCTAGTGCACCCAAATGGATGATCTAACAAATCTGCTCCAGATAAATACCGACAAGGTCGAGGGATTTAAGAAATGAGTGGGGATCACAGAAGTCAGGGCATACAAATTGGGAACGAAAAAACGTGGAAATCACGTGTTTCTTTTTTCTCTTGAATACTGGCCCAAACTCCTCCAGAAAGACGATGCTCCAGTGTCTCCAAAGGATTGGTTCTTTTCAAAATCCGGCGCCAGGTTCCCGGGACCAATGCAGAGGAGAAAAGCGCCCTGCTCCCTGGAAACGCTCCTCCCCTTTGAAGGAAGTTTGCGGGGCGGGGCTCCCACGCATGCTCCGTGCCCGCGGGCCCATTGGCGCCCTTCTGGGCGCGTGCGCAGGACCGAATGGGTGCCCGGACGCGGAAGACCTGGCTTTGCAGAGGTTCCCGCTTCGGAAGCGTGGGAGGAGTGAAAGGCTGCAGGTTGTAGATATCGGTCTTGGCCCCGAGGGGTTCCCCCGGGCCTTTAGAACCCAAGAAAGGAAAAGCAGGCACAGCGGCGGCGGCGGCTGGCCAAACCCCCGACCTGTCTTCCAGGCAGGGAGGGGGGGCGGGGAGGGGGAGCAGCTCCGATAGCAGGGCTGAGGAGCCTCCGGAACCGGGTCACGGAGCATGAAGGGCTGGACCGGCTCCCCAAGCATGGGGAGCCGGAGCCGCCGAGGCCGCCCGGCCGGGCCCTGCCCGACTGTCAGCTCCTCGGTGCTACTGCTTCCCGGGCAGCTCGGGTATCTGTAGCACGGCCCCTCTCGAGGTCGTTGGCCGACAGAGCAGCATGCGTTCCGCTGCTGCCTAGTTTCTACACCCCTCCCCTGTCTTCTCCCTCCGTCCTGTCTCCTCTTTCCCAAACCCCGTCCTTCTTTCCCTCGCTCCCGTGCTCCTCTTTTCCCTCCACCCTGCCCTCCTTTCCCTCTATCTTCTTCCTCTCCGCTTTCTGTCCCCCTCCTTTACCCTCTTTGTCTTCCTGCTTTTCCGTCTATCCTTTCCCCTCCCTCTTGCTCTTTTCCCCTCTTCCTTCCATCCCTCTTTCCTCCTCTCTTCCTTGATTCTGTCACCCACCACCACAACCTCTCCATCCTCCCCCCCTCACTCTCAGCTTCCCTTCATCATCCTCATCCTCTTTCCCTCCTCCTCCTTTCCAGCTTTTCTCCGCCCCCGCCCCTGCCTCCGCCCCTTTGCCCCCGCCCCCAGCTGCCAGTCCCCAGCAGCTCAGTCCTGCAGTGAGAGTCTTGGGAGTCCATAGCCTAAGCACCGGGAGCAGAGCACGGTCCGCCTGCTGCATGCAAGTCTCCGACATGGCTCACGAGAAAATGGAGCTGGACTTTGAGCCTGACACATCTGATGGGGGCACCCTCAGGAGATCCAACAGCGCTCCCCTGATCCATGGGCTCAGGTGAGGAGGGTTGGGGAGGATGGAGTGCAGGGTTCAGGATCTCCTCGACCCGCTGCAAGCAGTCTTCCTTTCCTCCAGTGAGAGTTGGAGCTCATATGAGTTCTCCACGCTGAGGGGGTGGAGACTTGTCTGCTTGACAGTGACTTGGGTCCCAAGGTGGAGTGAAAGTTTGACCCTAAACTCTGGGCAGTGTGGGGAAAATGGGGCTCTCTCTACCTGGGGCTCTGTTGGCCCCTCTCAAAGGAACTAAAACAGGATTCCGGCTCTTCTAACAGGTTGCTTGCCCTGCCTAATTTACACCACCGAATGTCAGACTGAAGCCCCTGGAACTAGGATTGCAACTTGACACCTGTCTCTAAGAGCTGCTATTTCTAAGCTTAGTCTATGAACCCTGGCGTTAACAGAGGTTTACTTCGAAAAATTACAGTTTATCTAATAACTTGTAATTAAATGCCACGTTCATGTCCTATTAAGTGATTCAGATTTGTCATAATGTTTTCAGATCCTAAAAATGCCTGAAACACATTCCAGTCAATAAAAAAAGGAAGGGTGGCATGTAGCTTAGGTCAGTGAAAGTGCAGGTTTTCAAAAACAATGGAAAGAATTGACCCTTGAATTTTAGTGGTAGGGTCTTGTGTTTTCCTGCCAGTAAGTCACCAGAGGGTCTATTTTAAGGCAGACTCTTGTGATAGTGAAGGTTAGGTTGGCAGACCTCTTGAGCCTATTACATTTCACTTTTGTAATTAGACAATTCATTTTAAAGTCAATTTGTGAGACCCTGTAGAAATGGAATGACTCCAAAAAAAGGGGGATGGGAGTAGAATTAGCCAAAACACTAATCAAGCACAGTGAAGGCAAAGAGAAAGGTAACCCTTGTCTATCAAACTGATTATGATATCCTTATTTTGGGGAAAAAAACAGACTTACCTTTTGTCTTTTCAACATTGAGGGAATGATAAAGTGCCTCTTTGCTTTCCTAATTGTGTCCTCGGCTCTACATTTATTTTTGATACTATAGAAATAAATTGGTATTTTTTTGAATCTTGTAAGCCAGCAGTTGCTGGGGACTAGGGTGATCCTGTTGACCTGCATTTAGACTGTTGTAGAAATAACAGGCTGCTTTTTTGCTTCATGATTTAAGTAATTATTTGAAAGGTAGCATGATGTGACAGGAGAAAGAGTGAGGTGACCAGGCCTAGTCCCCATTTTCTCCCTAACTGGCTATGATCAGGAATGAGTCACTTAGCCTTTCTGAGTCTCTGTTTTCTAATTTAAAATTTCGGAAAGCTGGATTAGGTGATCTCCACCATCCCTGGAAGCCCAATGCAGTTCGGCCTTGAAAATCCTTCTTCACCTCTTGTCCTGGGCATCGCACTCTGCTCAGTACTGCAAGGGTGACCAGAACACCTCTCCCAGGGGGTTTAAAACACATGCACACTTGTCTTTAATAAAAGGTGAAGTTGGTGTCTCAAGAAGCATCTGGTTTCCCATCGTACTCTTTGGGTACAAAGAAGGGAATGGTAGCATTAGGTCTGTGGAATGAAGAGAGGCTTGTGGAGGGTCTGGCATTTGAGATGGCTGTTGAAGGATAGGAAGAGTTTTGACAGAGAGTGGTGGGAGGGAGGGCATTTGAGGCAGAAAGGGCAATGTGAGCAAATCTCCAGGTCTGTTGATGTAGTTGAATAGCAGGGTTCCAGAATAGCACAGGTGTTTAGGGCAATAGCAGGGGATGTGCTGATAGGGTTCCTACTGGGCATCAGGGCTCCCCAGCCCTACTCACGTGACAGCACACGTAGGCAGTAACATTTACAGGTAGGTCCTCTGGGGTAAACAGATGAGGCTACTGGTATCTGGTGGTAACTGGTTTGGGGGCGTGAGTTCTGACCAGAAGGAACTGGAAGCAACCAGTCTGGAGCTCCGCCCCATACCTCTTCTAGCTGTCCCCCAGCCCAGAGGAGATCAGTATCTCAGCCAGACTCTCTTCCACAGCACACCACTGGGGACGTTCTGCAGAGGACGGTGAGGAGTTGAGGGGCCATCGAAGACTTCAGTGTTAACCAGAGAACTGGCATTCATACAGCCGAAGGATATCTTATATGAGAAGACATAAATCATTTTATTTTTTACTTTTCAGTGACCTTTCACAGGTTTTTCAGCCTTACGCGTTTAGAGCTCGGAGGAATAGTACAACTGTCATTAGCCGTCACACCTTGGTAAGTATAGGAGTAAGTATCCTTAGTGGTTGGGATTGGAGGAGACACTTTCAAATGTTGTTCTTTCTTGAGATGATGTGCTAGGCACCACTGCTTAGGAAAGAAACAAATGATTTTACCTGTCTTGTTTACTGCTTATGCTGTGGCCATTTTCCATTTTTGGCGCAAAAAGGAAATCTGGTTAAAAATTTTTCTTGACTGTGGGACTTGGTATTTTTAAACACTGTTCATTGTGTTTTGTCACTACTTGCATCACGGTTGTGAGGTAAGAAAGTGTTAGTCGCTCAGTCCTGACTGACTCTTTGCGACCCCATGGACTGTAGCCCACCAGGCTCCTCTGTCCATGGGATTTCTCCAGGCAAGAATACTGGAGTGGGTTGCCGTTTCTTTCTCTAGGCAGTCTTCTCAACCCAGGGATCAAACCCTGGTCCCCTGCATTGCAGGCAAATTCTTTACCATCTGAGCCACCAGGGAAGCTCAGAGGTAAGTCTGGATTAACTTCTAATTATATCTGAGAACAGGTCTTTATTTGTCCTAGGATGCAAAAATCATGTATATGGTAGCAAAATATTTATTTTTGTTGGACAGAGCCATCTATTTAAAGTCAAGTCTACTTGAAAATGCTTGTATTTCCATTCCCAGTAGAGGTGCTGATGGTGACTAGTCTATATAGCCAGAACCATCACGGATCACCTTTTTAGTTGGTCATGGTGGGAGAAATTATGAAGAGGTTTTTATATAGTAGCCCTTCACATGTGGAGTCCACTTATCCAGTAATTGCAGTGCCCTGGAAGGTACAAAGTGTAAGCAAATAGGCCTCTAAATGGCTGAACCAGATTTCCATAGTCTGTGCACAAAGGTTCATCATTTTATTTATAGGAGAGGCTCTCTGACCTCTGAATCATCTAAAATTTATGCACAATTATAATAAGCTTCGAACTCAGTAGTGTGTGAGAAACAGCAAATCAGAAGAAGTACATTTGGGTTAAAGGTGTATTAACAGCTGCTAGCAAGGGAGGAGAGGGGAAGACTGAAAAGCAGATATTAGTCTGTGGCTTAGTATTAGAGCTGAGAGCCTGTTAATAGACCCTGAGGGTGTCACTGGCATCGAACTGTAAAATAATTGATGTTCCTACAATACCTGGGTCATTAACCTTTTCTTAAACTGTAGTAATACTTACACTTATATGGTATTTTACATGTTACAGAATACTTTCACACATTTAATTCTCATAGAAACCCCTATGAAGTAGGCAGGGCAAAAGATGTTTTTCCCAATTAAAAGAGGCAGCAGCTAAGACTCAGCCGATCAAAGTGACTAGCTCCGAATTACACAGTTTACTAAGTGGCAGAGCTGGGGTTAGACTAGACATCTTCCAGTGCTATTCTGTTTGGTAAAATCTGTTTAAGAAAGGGATGGTGGGATAGAACACTTTTAAGATTTCCAGTCAAAGTGGCTACAGATACTTCAAGGGAGAAATGATAGCTCTCTGGAGGTTTGGTTTTCTGCACCTTCTTCCCTGAGGATACTAGAAAATAGAACTACTTGTTTTTGCTGTATATGTGAAAAATCTTTCTACATGTTCTACAGCTGTGTTCCTGATATCAATAGCATAGCAAAGAAGGGAAAATGATTTTGCCCCTCTGCACTTCACTTGGCTGTTTTCTAAGATGTGAAGATTCTTAGCATCTAAGATTCTTAGATGATTTGGGGCTCATCTCACTAATAGCCTTCCTTCTGGCTGCACTGAAATGCATGAGTTTGCTGAAGGGATGTGTGGATGCACTCTTCTTTATTGATCCCTATGCTCTCTTCAGTCTTTCCTCTTCTCCTTTCTGGTTTTCTGGTTTAGGACACCTTCCCCAGCACCCTTTGGCTACTTTTTTCATAATATTGATTACACCATATGTTGTATGTCACCACAAGCTCTACAGATCTTAATATACTTGCCTATGTCCCATCTTAACCTGCACAAAGTGAGGTGTTGCAGACTGAAATGGAAAGAGGTGCGGTTGGGGGACTGATGAAAGAGACATGCAGAAGTAGGATCTTCATGATTTGCTGATTAGATAGAAAGGCAGAGGGAAGGTGTACTCAGATATTTTATTTCTTGGTGACCAGGGGAAAAGTGTTGCCTTTATTCCAGATAGGAATTGAGAGGAATTAGACATTTGAAAGTCAAGCAGTACATTCTTTCCTGGATTGTTGGGTTCAAGGAACCAGTGGCCCCATGTTGCTCTCCAAGCAATATTCAAAATCTTCTCAAAAATGGTAGTCCTCCTGTCTCACCTGCTTGCACTTTCAGCAGATGACTTTTCACTTCGCAGAGATGGCAGACACCTCTCTTAGATAACCAGTGACTTTCTTCTCCTGGAAGTCTTTCCCTTCACACGGGGAACTCTCTGCTAATGGTTGGGAGGTTGTTGGACTCCCGTGGACCTTTGCTCACTCTGTTTTCTCTGCTGTATATTGTATCCTCTGTCCCTTGCTTGCTGGCTCTTTCCCTCCTGCCTTCTCGCAACTCCCACATCCCATAAATGAAAAACATGCCTCTTTCTTCATAGGTCTGCCCTTGCCTTTTTCCCTTCCTCTCCGAGTTTTTTCAAAGCTGAATCCACCCTCAGCTGCCTCTCATTCCTTGCCGATAATTCATGCAGACTATATTATATTCACGATACCACAACTCCATTTAAAAACCATCCTGTAAAACTCCCCAGCACCCACTTGTCCACCAGTGTCAGGGGCCTCTTTTCTGGTCCCACTTGAGCTCTTTGCTCTATTTCACACCATTAACTGGCACTTCCTTGAGGTTCTTGGCTTTTTCCTCAACCTATCCATTGCTCTCATTGCTGGTACCAGACACAGCTCTGCTGTTCTCTGTCCCTCTTCTGGGTCAACTTTCCAGTCCTGTCTCAAATTGGCGAGTTGTGTAGGATGTAGACCTGCCATCTAAACTGGTGACTTCCTCTGCAGTCAGCTTCTGGCAGTCCTTTGGCTTTCCTGATTATTTTGCTGCCTTTGGGGTTTCTTTTGTTCCCCGACAGACCCGTTCATGCTCTCTGCCCTGCTGTCCTGATGGAGTCTTGCCTGCCTTATTTACTGGCCCAGTAGCTTAGCATTTTTTTCAAATGACCTTATCAAGAGTTCACCAACAAACATGTATTACTTTCATAATGGAAAATAAATACTTTTGAAAAGGATTTTACTGGTAAAATTTTTCTCTTTTCAAAGCCTAGGAGAGGAAGAAGTAAAAGAAAGGGGTGGGAAATGAAGGGATCTCTTTTGAGGTAAAATCTTATTTCAGTGGATAACTAAAAAATTTTACATGAATTAGCTTCTGCCTAAAACACTTAGTTTTTTAGTATATCACTACTTTATACTACTTGCCACAGGAGTATTGTTTAAAGTTTGGATAGGGTAGGGCCTCTTGCAGCAGGATAATTGTCATATTTGGCTTTATAGTACTACAGATTCATTCGCCTTTCATCATCCCCCTGCCGTAAGATGTTAGTATGAATTTTACCTTACATTTCATGATCAGATCATGATGATTTTTGAAGGGACATATTTTGGTACCCAGATCATTTCATCTTTGTGTTATTAAAAAATGATCTAAAGGAAAGCAACAGTTATCTTTAAAATGCACCTTGCCTCTACATTGATTTTTTTTTCTGAACTAGTAAGCTTTGTGGTGATAACATTAATGATCAAATTTTAGAATTGACTTAGATCATGCAAGTAAAATCTCCTTATTGCAGTTTTTTAAAGTGTTTCAGTAAACATTAACTGTAAATAAAATATTATTGTTGTTCAGTTGCTGTGTCCAACACTTTGCAACCCCATGGACAGTAGCACACCAGGCTCCTCTGTCCTCCACTATCTCAGAGTTTGTTCAAATTAGACAAAATATTTTATTGGACTTATTTGCTCATCTTCCTCCGTTGGTGCATTGGTAATAAAAATGAATAGAATCAGGGTTTTTGCTTTCCCCTCATACAGAGTTCCTTATTTTAGTTAAGTGGGGTAATGGCTATTTCTAAGACCTGGAGTCTTTTTTTACATAAATGTACACAGCTCTGCATTCATTTGGGAAAAATGTTAAAGTCAGTGCCTGTCTAGCGACAGATGGTGCTTTGAGGTTGGACACCTGGTGTACTTTCTAAAGACTGAATGTACTGCCTCTCTAGTGCATTAATGTTCAGTGATTTAAAGAGCTATTTCTCAGAAGAATATGAAAAATTATCTAGGAAGAGGTTGTACACTGGCACTGAGAGCAGACCACAGCTTTGTGATTCAAAAAATAGTAAATGTTGACTTTTTCTTTCCAGTTGCTGTCAACCTCACCTAATCGGATTCCTAGCAGCAGACTGCATCAAATCAAAAGGGTATATTTTACTTACTGGCTCAGATCTGTAATTTTCTGTATTTTGCATTTTGGTTTTATTTTCATCTTGGAGAATTAGGTATTAAAAGTGAGTCAGACTGCCACTCTGGTTAGTTATAAACAGGTTAAAATTCTTCTGAGTGGGCAGATAAAATACAGATGTGGCTCGGGTGACAATCTTAGAATGTCAGTCCTGCTGTACTCTGATGATGTCAAATGAAGTAGAAAGGTCCTTTTCGTTTCCTTGGAAATAGAGAACTGTGGATAAATATTCTGTTTTCAGCACATGTTTGTCTTTGTAGGAGGAAGGCATGGACATAATGAACAGAGAAACTGCGCACGAAAGGTTAGTGCTTCACAAGAACAGGGTGTGGCCTAAGGTATGTCTTGTTTACAAGCTCTGATGGCTGTTCATTTTTGTCTGTTTTAGAGAAGTGCAAACTGCAATGCAGATAAGCCAGTCATGGGATGAGAGCTTGAGCCTGGTAAAGTTTTCACATATCTGCTTGTTTTTTTTTATTTTCTAGAGCCCACTGTATTATTTATTGGCTTCATTCACTTTTGGCCCTCCTGTTTCCAAATTTGAATTCAGCATTTTGATCTCTGCTTTCCCACCAGAATATGAAATTACAACTTTTAGGAGTATATATCTGTAAAAGTGTAGGTGTGTTTGTGTAGTAGAGAACAGTGATGTGTTGACTTGTGAATTATGAGGAAATAACACTTTCTTTTTACAGAGTGATAGTGATTTTGACAAGCAGGAGAAATTATATTCTCCTAAAAGGATTGACTTCACTCCAGTTTCTCCAGCACCATCACCCACCAGAGGATTTGGAAAGGTAGGTTCATTGATAAGATATTAACTCTCTTTCACACACTGAGCTGATTACTTTCTAAAATGAACAATACACAAACACAAATCGCCTAGTTTTTGATGAATTCAATGACTGGAAGGAAAATTAATTGAAGTCTATGGTAGTAATTTGAGAAAAAAATCTGTCACTCTGTCCATCTATCTGTTCTCTCATAGACATATATGAGAGACAGGTAAGTAGTTCTAAAATGTTGTTTTTGTCATTTTGAGAAGAATCTTTTGAAAACTGGAATACTAGAACTATTATAATATATGTTTTTTCCTAGCAATGTTTTTCACCATCCTTGCAGATGTTTGTGAGCAGCAGCGGGCTACCACCAAGTCCCGTTCCTAGCCCAAGACGCTTTTCCACGTAAGTAAACCTGCTTTTTCAGTGTGGATGAAAGGCTGTTCATTAGATTTGTCTCTCTGGTGAACGTTTCCCTCAGCATTTTATTATGGGAATTTCAAACAGCAAAGCTGAAAGAATTTCACTGTGAACATCTATATGCCTACCACCTATATATTCACTGTTAACATTTTACCATATTTAATTTTTGAGACATAGTGCCAGTTTATGTTCAGTTTACATTTCATGCATATGGAAATGTATTCTTTATAAAAGTAAGGAAAAAAATGTTAGACCAGTCAAAATCCCAAATAACTTTTTTATAAGATTTATCTTTAAAAAAAAAACAACTGTCGGTAGATATTTTGTCTTAGAAAATGAGTTTTTTTAAATGGCTTAAAATGCCATGTTATTCCAGATTGTCATATGCCAAGTCAGATCATGTATTGGCATTTCAGTTACTCAACCTACAACATAGATATTGTCCATTTCTCCCTATATGGCTATAAATTGTATTGATTTGCCAAAAGTACTTACTGTTATCCTGTTTATTCTTTAAAGCAGGAGAAGCCAGAGTCCAATCAAGTGCATTAGGCCCAGTGTTCTTGCTCCTCTTAAAAGAAAAGGTATATATCACCCTTCTGCTGTTAAAAATAGTCCAGCTTGAATTACAAATTAACAATTTCTGTCTGAAATTAATTCAAAGCTTAACTCCTTTTTTCTAAAGAAATAGTGCAATATTCTTTTCCAGTGTATGCTTTACTGATTGTAAATTCTGGGAATTAGTTATTTGATACTGTCTATATTTTTTTTACACTTCATAACTGAGTCTTACTCACGTATTCATATAATCAATATATGTTTGAGAAATTTTGCCTCTCAGCAATCTGAATATAAAAGAGATATAAGTTGATATGTTGCAGAAATATGTGTTAATGTCATAGCAAATAAGTCCATATACATGCAGTATGCTCAAATATAAGCCACCACCAAATGATGGCTTGCCAAACAGAACAGCCTCCCATTCAAGTCTCTGTAGGGTTTTTGATATAATAGAGTGCTCTGTGTGTGTGTGTGGTTTATAAGAAATACACTTTCTTTTTTTCTTCATTTAATTTATGTTTTAATTGAAGTCTAGTTGATTTACAATGTGTTAATTTCTGCTGTACAACAAAATGATTCAGTTATACACATATATATATTCTTTTTTATATTCTTTTCCATTCTGGTTTATTCCAGGATATTGAATGTAGTTCTCTGTGCTATACAGTAGGACCTTGTTGTTTATCCATTCTATATGTAATAGTTTGCATCTACCAACCCCAAACTCCCAAGGGGTGCTCTTTTAATTACATTATTTTAAACCACAAAGCACTAAATGAAAATGATCTCACTCAGCGCTAGTTTTAGATGCTTATAGAGGGCACCCAATGGAGTCTATTTAAAGAAAGGCAAAGAAATTTAACACGGGTTTAGTCATTTTTCCTGGGGATATAACCACATGATTGCAAGTGTTGGATGTCATTTTAAATGAGAGTTTTAATGATAATTCTAAAAAAGCAATTTAGTAAGTTTTTGTGTGTGTGTGCAGATCACCTCCAGGGCTAGTAAACAAATCAACTCTTCTAATGTCAGGTAAACTGATACTTGCGGCTTTGGTGAAAACTTTCCATTAGTAGTATCATACACAGATTCAAAAGTGCTATATTTCAGACAACTTAAAATTAAAGATGGTGTGCTCTGGGGAACAGATGCTGATACAGTGACAGGATTTGTATTTAGTGAATAGATTTTACTTTATAAATAGTTTTTTTCCTTAATGCTGCAAGGAATTATTTACAATCCTAAGAACCTTCTCAGGAGCTATGATGTGAAAGTAAAGCTTAGAAATTAAAGCTAGCATTGTTATTAGTGTTAATTTTAAATATATTATAGGAAGTTGGTGGAGCTTACTCTGGTTGTTCCATTTCAAAGCTATTCCAAAATATACCAGCAGATGGAGGGATTCTTTGCTCAAAAAGGCTAAAGTCTTTTGCTAATGAAGTGTTGAAAGCCTGGCAGCAGCTTTGAAAAGCTGCATATTAAAGCATGGAAAAAAGCAAATGAAAATATAACCTTTCTTGAATTTCAGTAATTTTCAGGATAGCTCCAGAGGAAAGATAATATGAATTAATTAATAATATGGGGAAAAATGAATGTTATGTTTGTTCTTCCTTGAGCTTTTTCCATCATAAGACTCTTGTAGAGGTTTAAGTTCATGGTTGCTAATTTCCTAATGGAGTATAGATAAGCCCATGAATTAAATTGTCTTTAATGTTTGATTTTAAAGCTCAGATAAAGAGCTTTGAAACCAAGGTGTGTGTGTGTTTTAAATCATAGCTTATTTGGAAAGGAGCTTTTTCTGTCTAATTTAGAGCTGTTAGTCTTTGGTCTCCCACGGCAAAATGTTAAGTGTTATTTCTTCCAATGTAAAGCGTTTCTATCCCCAGTTCTGAGAAGATCTACAGGATTGAAGTAGCCAGTACAGCATTAATTTTGTGAACTAATTAATAATTGCTTTTAATTACAGATGTGCTTTTAAACTTGTATATTTTCTAATCTTCATTTTCACTAAGTAGCCTAAAGCCATCTTTGATTTGTATGTTTTTATCAGCCTGCATACTTTAGAGTCCATTTGACTTCATCTCAGGAGATGTTTTGATATTAAAATATATAAAATCAAGAGTCCTTACTAATCTTTCTAGCATAAATTTTTATTCACTGGGAGCTTCAGCTATTAGGGGATGCTTTTTTTCTGTTGTGGTTAGTCTTGATTCATTTTGCCTAATGAAATCAGTGTTTTACTCTTCTATTAAAGAAATTGACTGTGTGGATAGCATGCTATGTACAATAAATGAGAAGGTATTTTTAGGGCTGCTGACTTTTTAGTTGAGGTTATGTGGCAGTGTATTTCTTCTGCATTAAAGCACATGGAAAAATAGCTTTCAAGTAAACAGCCTGAAGTACTCTGATCACACAGAGATCACCCCATTTTAGCAGCAAGCCTGTATCTGTAAAATCACAGTATGGTAGCATCACCTCTTTCTGTTTTAGGTGAAATGGAGACCGAAAGCCAGCCCAAGAGGCTCTTCCAAGGCACCACCAATATGCTGTCTCCGGAGGCTGCACAATTGTCTGATCTCAGTTCATGGTAAAAAATGAAATAAAACCCCAAGGATATTAAGGGATGATGTATTTGAAAAGAACCACAGCAAAAGTATATTGGGGTGATGTAAAATATATTCAACTTTTTATCCATGTTCCCTAGAGGTGAAATCTCCATGGAGGTGTAGGCAGTGTAAGAAACTATTGTTTGAAAGTCAATGCTACCTTTGGAAGTGTGTGTGCCTTTTTGACATCTTCACTTTCCTGCCTAACTCCTGATAGGTCAGCCTCTCAATAGTTGCTGTTGGTATGGGAGTGTGTCAGTAGCTGGATGGCATGAGAAAGAGTTTCTGGACTGCCCTGGGTAGTGTGCCTTAATTATAATTGCTCTGCCTGCATTTTGTATTGGATTGGCCAAAAAGTTTATTTGGGTTTTCCCACAAATTGAAACAAAGTTTTTGGCCAAGCCAATATTCTGTCCTTTGAACTTAGCAGAGAATACCAGCATTTCGTAAGCAGGGCATTTTCTAAATAGCACTATCTGTTGATATAAACTCTTTTTGGGAAATTTTGGGGTATTCTGTCACAATCCTAAGGTTTCACTTAAATAGTAACATTTCCAGATTCCTATGGTCTGTTCACATAACTTCTTTTTTAGTTTGACTCATCTGAGCTTACAAGTTTAGCTTAAGGCTCTTTAGTGTTTTTGTGCAAAGTTAACTTCTTTTCCTATACCCAAAGTTGAGTACTTGGATTCCAACCTGTATTGGGAGGAAGGGGAAGGGATTATAGCAGTGGCCAGGTGATATTTGGAAATCTTTAAGTACGTTTCCATCAACTTGTGTATATGTGTATGTGTGTGCACACACATATGTATATGTGTTAGTTGCTCAGTCATGTCTGACTTTGTGACCCCACGAACTACTGTAGCCCACCAGGCTCCTCTGTCCATGGAATTCTCTAGGCTAGAATACTGGAGTGGGTTGCCATGCACTCTTCCAGGGGATCTTCCCAACCCAGGGATCGAACTCAGGTCTCCTGCATTGCAGGCAGATTCTTTACTGTCTGAGCCGTCAGGGAAGCTCCCTTCTATCAGCTTGCTGAGTACCTATGTTGTAGATGCAATTGTGTAGAGCCTTTCAGAACTTTTTGATCAGAGTTTTATGGCTAAGGATTTTTTTAAAAGAGCCCCAGAGGGCATTCACTTTAAAAACAATAATGTCCTTTAAATGGAAGATATATGTAAGCCACTTATAAGTTATACAGACTGACTATTGTTGCTCTCCAATCACTTATTCATTATTTTGTCCAAGATAACCTCTGCTTCTTGTTCACCAAGAAGTCACAAATTATTCTGGCTGATTCGCCTCGTTGATCAGTACTGTTCTAACCTTGGAACACATGCCTTTTAGATTGTTCTAGCTATTTTCAGCCCCCGCTCTCTCTTCCCTCTCATCCCTGTCTGTCCTTGGTAGCTTAGTGTGCTAATTTTGGTATAGAGTGCCTTTCCAGGTATGTAGATGACTGCAAAGAGAAAATTTCTAAAGCTTGTTGAGAGGACTAGCAGGTGAAACTCTATACTGAGTGGAAACTGCATATCACTTTTATGGTAAAGTAGGTTTTAATATAGGCACATAACATTATAAATAGATTTGCTTACCCAGTTACTAACCAAGTAACCAAGTTCATGTTAAAAGATCAGAAAGCATTCACCAAGTTAAAAACATACAGGGTGAGGTGATTTTTTTTTTTTTTAATATTGTCATGGGGTGACTGTGCTCAATGCCATGAAACAGGTTCACACAAGTAAGGAAGGAAAAGAGAATGTATGTTATTTACCAAGGGTCCTCTCCTTTTGTTCAGATGTTTATTCCTCTGAGCAGCACAATCTAAGCTGTGTATGATGGTGCCTGTTGTGAGGCTTCTGTGTTTGGTTGGCTGTACCACATGGCTTGTATGATCTTAGTTCCCTGAGCCTGGGGTTCCCTTAGTTCCCTGGGGTTGAACCCAGGCTGCAGCAGTGAAGGCTCAGAATTCTAACCACTAGGCTACCAGGGAACTCCTGTGAGGCTTCTGTTTCTATTGCTACCACCTCCATCTTCCGTGGACGTGTGACTGGCTGTGGGAGTCTTGGGAATATCAGCACTCTTGCTCTGTAAACACAAAAAGTATTGCCTCTGGATGCCTCTTTTCCATTATTAACTGACTTTGTTAGAATGTCAAAGAATAATGTACAGGCCAAAGGGAGAAGATGAAAAAGAGATAACATAGCAGATCATTCACAACTAAAGAGCAAGGAGTGGGACAGCCAAGAATTGACTGTTCCTAGAATATCCATCTCCTTTAGAACTAAGATTTTTAAAGAACAATGCACAATGTTGTATTTTATTAATGCCTAGCTTTATAACACAAACATAAATAAGTGATAATGGTAGTAAAAAAATTTTACTGCAAAGTAAATGGGCATATTTGGGACTAATAAGAATATTAATGAAAGCAGACCCAATACAATTTTGCTACAGGGAATAGTAGTAGAAAACTTCTGGTTAATAGACTGTCATAAATTTGAAGTAATCAAATTATCTAAAAGAGTAAAAAAAAAGTGTCGCCTCACATTGGAGAGGTTTGCTTTATTCATGGCTGCTCATAGAGTGCTAATAAGCCAACATATAGCTCACGTAATTTTTAAAAAGAAATTTAATACTCAAAATTCACAAAACTCAATATCAAAGATGATTAAACTTTTCAAATGGTGTCTTTAGTAAGTTTGTAGCATCTGGACTTCTGAGGATATTAAAGCTGACAATTGCACTAAGACTTCTGGAACACCTTGTATACTGAGATTGCTGACATTTATGTCTATAGTTAAGAGAATTTAAAAATGAGTTATTCATGATATGTAAAAATCAAATTCTGCTTTTGCAGAAAATTTTTTATTCCTGTCTCTTAAAAGCTGTTTCATTGATCAGACATATTCTTAGAAATGAGGACAGAGACAGGAACTAGCTGTGTTCTTGTTTCTGCTGCCAAGGATAACAATCTACTCAATAACTAAAGGAAACCATTCTTATACATTTTAGGGAAGAAATGGTATCAGATCGTTAGTAGGTATTATCTCAACATTTCAGTCATTATAGTTTGTTCCCTGCCCCATTCCACAAAGAAAAGATAGGTTTTAAAACTTTAAAGTTTATATACTAGTAATGATCTGTAAAATTTTATATTTTTGAAGTACAAATTAAATGGGAACTTTGAGTATGGACCCATATGGAGTTGGTGTCCAGTGTTCCAACTGCTGTGCAAAGGAATGGTAGATCTCCTTTTTGTAAATGTACTTTTTACTAAAGATTCTGCAGTCTTTGCTGACCAAATCTGGGGAACTTTGCCCACCATAAGGCAAGGATTATGTCATTCTGCATTTAGTCCTTATGAACATCAAAGAGTTTGACTGTACCTCGGAAGTACACCTTTGCATGGTGCTTTGATTCTTTTTGCATGCTGGGGACTCTTGTTCTGCTCCTCATTCTTCTGAGAATAAAACTGTCTGTGGCATGCTGTGTAAAATAAAGCTGTTTTCAGAGCTGCTAACCATATAGTGAAGATTATGTGATAGTCTGTTTCTCCTACCAAAAAGGAAAAAGTCTCCCATGAAATTTCTTGCCCAGTGCTTTAGTGTTAACATGACTGCTGGCTTACCTCTAGGTTTTTTTTTTAATATTTTCCATTAGAATTATATTAGTAATTTTTGAAAATTTTTTTTTCATTTATTTTTATTAGTCGGAGGCTAGTTACTTTACAATATTGTAGTGGTTTTTGTCATACATTGACATGAATTAGCCATGGATTTACATGTATTCCCCATCCCGATCCCCCCTCCCACCTCCCTCTCCACCCGATTCCTCTGGGTCTTCCCAGTGCACCAGTGAAGTAAGCCAGAAAGATAAAGACCATTACAGTATACTAACACATATATATGGAATTTAGAAAGATGGTAACGATAACCCTATATGCAAAACAGAAAAAGAGACACAGATGTATAGAACAGACTTTTGGACTCTGTGGGAGAAGGCGAGGGTGGGATGTTTCAAGAGAACAGCATCGAAACATGTATATTATCTAGGGTGAAACAGATCACCAGCCCAGGTTGGATGCATTGACAATATTTTTAATGATCTGTGTGTCATGGCAAGAAAATTTTATCGTGAAAATATGACGTGCAAAGAATAAGTTTTAATTGTGATTTGATGATAGAAAAGTTTGCATTATACTTGAAGATTGTTTATGTGAGCAGCTTAGACTTCTGTGCTGATACTTTTTGTTTGGGGTGTTTAAAGAGCATTTTCAGTTAAAAATTTTTTCTTCCCATTTTATTGAGTGTTATTGATACACAGCACTGTATACGTTTAAGGTGTACAGTATAATGATGTGGCTTACATACATCATGAAATCACGACCACAGTAGGTTTAGTGAACATCCATCTTCTTCTGTAGATACAAAATTAAAGAAATAGAAAAAGAAATTTTTTCCTTTTGATGAGAGCTCTTAGGATTTGACTCTCAAGAACTTTTATTTGTAACATATAGCAGCGTTAATCATCTTTATCATGTTGTACATTACATCCCTATGTGCTGATACTTTTAAACTCCTGTCCCCAAAGTGACAGTGGAAATGATCATATTTAATGGTCTCAAAAACATAGAGGTTATATAGCAAGATAATGCTGGGTTTTCATAACGTAAGCTAGTAGAGACCAGAGAACATACACTGTGGACCAGGTTAACCCCCACCAAGGGGTCAGGGGATGCCCTGTAGTATTACCTTATGCTAAAATCTGTGTTGGGGTCGCTGAGCAATGACTGATTTCTAATACATTTACCTACCTGCCATTGGTCTCATAGAACCCAGTTTACTGACTGTTCAAGGTCAGAGTGGTTCAGCCAGATGGATAGTAGCATGAGTCACACTGGACAACCCAGTTTTGTTGTTACTTTGTCATTGAATGCTTTAATAATTCCCTTAGCTTTTTCCATTTCTCCCTTAGCTTTTTTAGACAGAGAGCGCTACTTTAACAGTCATAAGTATTTTTGGCGGTGTGGTTCAAATAGTGCCTTAATTTGTATAGTCAGTGGCTGGAATGAATTAGTTTACGTTTGTTTCATGTATTCTTATGTCCAATTTGAATTATTTAGGTCCTTTGCTTTCCTGCCGTTGTTTGGCTTTGGGCCATTAGTCTAAGGCTCATTAGCACCTCCACCAGAGCTTAAACTGGGGAATAAAAAGAGAAACTTAAATTGGACCATACATTTTGCTTTCGAAGCCCTAGTAGAAGGTTAACAGCAGACACTGAAAATCACTTTTGTACAGTGATCTCTCTGTGGATTGAAAAATCACATAAGCCTTGCTTGTGAATATATTAATAATGTGTAATCTGTGACCTGTAGTCACTGCTTCTAGGACCATGTATAGTAGTGCCAGGTTAATTAGAAGAGAAACTAGATTTTAGTTTAGTGAAAATATCTGGTTAAAGGTTTACCAGGCTCTGAATCTAAGTTGCACTGTAGACAAAATGCAAGTGTGCTATTCTTTGTCAATGAAACAAATTATATATGTTTATACTTAATAGCAGAGAAGAAATTCCTAAAAATATATATATATATATGAAGTGAAATGTTCAGACTCTTTTTTTTTTTTTTTTGGTAAACGTCCCTGTTACCTTATTTCTTTAAGGTAATCAACAGTGTCAGAAGACCAGATTTCACAGCATGAGTCATGTTCTGTGTTTTTTAATGAATATAGATTCACCTAAGCAAGCAGGTTTTATTGTAAATGGAATCTTTTAACCCAGGGCACACCATCAGTCTGGTTAGAATAAGAAAGTATTTATATACAGATTATCTGCTTGGTGGCCAAATGTTAATCCAAGCCTATTTCTTCCTGCCAACTAGCAGAGAGCGTGTCCTTCAGCTTCCCAGCCAATATGTGCTTTAGGAAAGTAAATTCATTTTAATATTAGTCTAGGCAAAATGCTGCAGGAGGAAAAATCACATATGTTCCAAAGGCAAATATAAAGGTCTTTTGATTTTCCAATGTCTTAGATTATCTGTGCAACTTTTTTCAGTACTTTGAATAATTTCATATTTTAGACCCATTTTGCCATTTGGTTGAAAAAAATACTAGAGCCAGCTAAATTTTCCAAACTTCTTACTTAAAAGTGGCATTATTAATGATGCATTTGACAGCAGTAAGCATAGAGTAGGAGGACTGTGGAATATACTGTTTCCATTTTTATTTTTACTTTTCCAAAGGCTATTTGTATTCTGTTTCCACCTGAAAACAATCCACAAGCAATAGAAAAAAATGACATCTTGAAGGAAACTAGAAGAGTAGAGAAACTGGGTTAGGGAAAGTTACGTTTTATTAAGGGTGGTACAGAGCCCAGAAACTTCCAAATGAACCATAGGTTATTTAACAATGGAAATATATTAACTTGGAAATTTATAAAAACATTACTATTAAAGTCATAATACTTAGTCTCAGAGCAATTTAGATCAGGATGGGCTTTTGCAAAGGACCTAATGATCAAACTTAAACTAGAACCCATACATGCTGATTCACAATTCCTTCTGCAATCCTTTGCTTTGTTTCCTTTTCAAAAATAAAAAAGTATGGGAATTCCCTGGTGGTCAAGCGGTTAGGACTGTGCTCTCACTGCCAAGGGTCTGGGTTCAATTCCTGGTTAGGGAACTAAGATGCCACAAGCCTTGTGGTGGGGGCAACTAAACTGCCTGACTCCCTCGCCAGCTTTCTCTCATCATGTTCTTACTCTTTGTACTGTAGCAACAGTACCCTGCTTTTTGCTCCTAGGCATATCCATGCTTCTTCCCCAACTTTACCCAGTTAATGCCTACTCATCTTTCAGACAACTGCTCAAATATCACTTTGAGGGAGCCTCATTTCTCCATATTCCTCCAAATTAGATCTGGTCACCCATGTTGTATACTCTAAGAACCCCTTGCATCTTTTCCTGCTTTGATCACAAATTCTAATTATATATTTATTAGTATGGTTATTTAAGTCTGTGTCTCCTGTGAAGTGAAGTGAAGTGAAGTCACTCAGTCGTGTCCGACTCTTTGTGACCCCATGGACTGTAGCCCACCAGGCTTCTCCATCCATGGGGTTTCCCAGGCAAGAATACTGGAGTGGGTTGCCATTTCCTTCTCCAGAGGATCTTCCCCACCCAGGGATTGAACCCAGGTCTCCTGCATTGAAGGCAGATGCTTTACTCTCTGAGCCACCAGGGAAGTGTCTCCTGTACTATACTGTAAATTAGATGCAGGCAGGGATCATGTGTGTCTTATACCCCTTTGTATTTCTGATATCTGGCATACATTCTGCACTTGGCAGGTACTCAGTAAATATAGAAGAAGTGAAGTGAGTGAATGAGTGAATTCAGGCCAAATCTAGAGCATAGAGATTACATGTTGGATTGACAGGAATCACAGCTAGGAGGGCAGCCTGAGGTCAGATTGTGAGGGCTGTGAATTGTGGCTGCTAAAGTCTGAAGCCAGATTAGTGATGCAGGTGAGACTGATTGTTGGGAGACATGGTCGCCTGGACTGGATGGGTCAGGTATCCCCAGACTGGGTTCTAGAGGCTCTTGATGCCCACATCAGGAGTCTTAGTGGAAGGATAGGAGCAGAAGCCAGTTATCAGGATTAAAGAGGAAAATAGTCTGTGAGGGTATTGAGACCATGGATCTAGAGCATTCCATTTAAATGCTTGACTGGATGGTAACTGAAGGAATTAAAGAAAGGAGCCTTTTAGGAATAGGAGGGAGACATTTGCGTTTTGAAAGCGAGAGGAAAGGAAATAGTCAAATTCATAAAATCAGAAGAACATAAAAGGCAAATGATGGAAGAGAGTAGAAAAAAAATGTGTCTTTGAATCCAGGACCTCTTGGGAGTGGGGAACTGATAAAATCCAGAGCAGTGGAAAAATGGTTTGGGAATGGAGGGACAGTGAAGCAGTATACTTGCTAGAATACTTCTAACAGTCCAGGGTACCTCCAAGAGTAACCCTTCCTCTTACTCAAAGGCTGACAGGAAGGTAAGAATATTAATATGAAGATAAAAAGAATGTTAAAAAGAAATATAAAGGTAGAAATCTCTTGAACTGAAGGTAGGGGAACTCCCTCACAAAAACCATGACACATCCAGAGGAACACTCACTGGTACATTGGACCTTCCAGTGCCTCCAGGAGAGCACCCAATTAATAAAGAGCCTTGAGTGTCTGACTTGGGATTTCTGTGACATTGTCCTCTCTCAGGTATCTGAACATAGGACGTTCTGTAGTTTTGCTGTTGCTTTTATGCTTTTTATGATTTACCAGTGCTGTACTGATCCATGAGTTCTTGAAACCATGTCGTTGCATGTTATGTTTGCCTTTACCCTGATAGATGCATCTGCTTATAATTCTTTTTGCTTTGTCCTCAGTTCAGATATTTTGGATGGCAGTAATAGCGGCAGTGGCTTGTCCTCAGAATCGCTGGCTAAAGGCAGCACAACCGCAGACGCTCCAGTAGCATGCTCCAATTCATGCTCTCCGTTCATCTTGATGGATGATCTCTCACCCAAGTGACTTACCCATTTCTGATTCAGTGTTCTAACTGCTGTTTCCTGCATAAAACATTCAGGGAGGAACGCAGAAAACTTTGATCCATAATGAGGATTAAAGTGTTACTGATCTAAACCATTTTGATGTCATTATTTTTTGGCACCACTCTTCTCTAAAGTTTGATTTTATAAGTGTAGCAACCTTACTTATGTCTCTCTATGCTGATCTCTTTTTGAGCTAGTGATGAAATCTCAAATACTCATTTTTGATTGCTTAGAGTATATACATATATATGTAAAATTTCTCAGTGCTTCAAAGAGCACCTATTTTAGAGTCTATAGTTTAAGGAAAGCACTAATATGTATTTTTGATAATGGTTCTTTTCCCCAGCAGTGACATGACAGCTGGAGTTGATCAGAAATTCTCTTGCTTGAGAGATTTTTTTTTGTTCTTTTTGACTACATAAGTCTCAAATCTCTTTACCTCACAATATTAGATTAATTGCTTTTGATGATATCAAATTTTTATTTTTCTGCATCAGCTTAAAGTACATTATTTTGTTTCCCTTTCCTGTTTGACCCGCTTCCTTGCCATTTCTCACAGAAGGGAAAAAACATGTCGTTGCTCTCATTATTGTCCATATCGCTTCTTTGCTATTGGAGTATGGGATGTGAGGACTGATGATAGTGCTGAGAATGTAAACAGACTTACAGGATGCTGGATTTAGTCACCACAGCTTCTTATGACTTAGCTACCCCAGTTGATATTGTTCTCCTCAAACCTGTTGCCCTAAGGAATATATAAAATATTGTTAATGTTTCTAGGTGGTGTTTTCAAGGAGAAGAAATTCCTGCCTTGACCAGATGTGTGGAGCACCTACAAATGAATGAATAGTTATTTACATACAAACCACTATGTAGAAAAGCATACATGGAGCTTGACAGCTTGTCTCTGGTGGTGTAATGAGGCCTGAAGGGCCTTGGGGTTCAATGTTGTGCTGTTATAAGCTATTTATCATAAGGTAGGGTAGAAAAGGGGCTTTATGTGTCTGATTGCTACATATTGTTTCTATTGCTGCTTCTTTCTGACTACTTTTTTGTCATTAGAGTCATTTGTTTTTGTCGTGTGGTGAGTGGTCCTGTTGACTGTATTTTGATTGTTGTGTTGCCACCAGAATCAGAATCCAGTTTAATAAAAGGTCAAGGAAGCTTTTAGGAGCTACCAAAGTCAGTGTCATTGTGCAGTCTGCTTTTAAGAAGCTGTTTGAGCTGTCAACAGTGTACATGATAGTAAATGTGCAGTACCATAAGTTATTTAACACTTAAAAGAGGAAAATCACGAAAGAGCTGTTTTAAAAACCTGAGTGTAATCTATTGCTGTGTTATTTATTATTTAAAACTGTGCAAAATGTCTGTTGTGATAGATTTCTTACAGTGTTCAGACATCGTGTTTAGGTTGTCTGTATTTGACATGCAAATTTGCCTGCTAGGACCATAATATTCCATTTTTAAATGAATGTAAGAAATGAAAACTACTGCATTTGTGTCATTTGAAGGCAAAGATCCTTGAATTTTAAAGGAAGATGATGTGCTTTGAGGGTGCTCACAGACTAGTGATACTGTAGGGCTCAAAGGGAAGCCTGTTCTCTCTGAATTATAAGAAAGCATCACTTAGCTTGCAGTGAGTAATTCCGTTACAGCATCAGCTGTGTTGTTTATTTTAAATTGTGATAACCACCATCATAGCCATTAATGGCTTTATCTCTCATATTGGCTTTCACCTGTGCAAAATCCATAATCCTTCAAACTTAACATGAATATATATATTATGAAGATTGTTCTCTAGGATGCCATTTTAAAGAAAAATTACTTCAATGGTATGCAGTATGTTTATTCTGTTTATGAAAGAACCATGTTAAGAATTTCTGCCTATATAATACTGAGAGATGGTTTTCTCCTATAGGATATTTATCCACCTTCTCTCTACTGTCTTCTTTGCCTTAAGGGACATGTTTGGCCATCATTTTTTGGCTCTAATTTAGGACTCTTAAGACATAACCTTTAAAAAATAAATAAATAAATTAGATAATAAAAAAAAAGACATAACCTTTAGAATGTAATGATACTTAAATTTGTTTCTGAAATTCTGTGGTGGGGTAGAATTGGGATAGGAAAATGAAATTGTTCCACTGGTTTGAGAACTAAGAGGCAAGATGATTCACTTTACTATTTAAGCCAAGGTTCATTTTTATCATTTAAATTGACTAGAAAGTTAAGTTTCTGCAGGGGTTGTTTTGGAATAAATAAAAGAGATGCTAGCCTTCAGATGAGCTTTGGTGACAGTATACTCTTTATTTTTATATAAAATCTAATATTTGGAAAGTGATCATTGTTATAAAGTAAAATTCTCTCTTCCTATTCTAATATTATATCATATTTCAAGCTTCTATTTGAAAACAAGTATAAGATGACATGATAAGAAAATTTAATAGATGCTCTTTTTGCTTGATTGACTTATATAATCACTGTGTTTCATGATAACTGCTTTTGGAATAATAAGTTTTGTGAAATGCTGACCTTGTGTATATCTTAGAATGTAAAATTAATAAAGTGTGTACACATGCATAAAATTCTGTAAAATTTTTAGCCTATTTCTTTTATTCTTGCTGTTCTCTGCCTCCATATCCCAATATTGCATTCTCTGTGTGTGATTGCAGAGAAATTTTGAGTAAAAGGATATCAAGAATACAAAAGAACTAATAGTTGTTTTGAAATTTGGGCTGTTTCCCAAAACAAAGAGAAACCTCTCCACATAATCTGTCAAATTTTCAAGAGCATTTTGTAGAATTTGACACTTTAGAAGGTTCTTGCCAAGGCCACACATATTTCTTACTTGTTTTGGATTTATTTTATCTTATGTTTTTTTTACATATTCATAAGACTCTGCATTGTTTTTAGAACAAGATGGGGGTGGGGAGACAGGCGAAAAAATAAAAGCCTTTCATGCATGACTTGGGTTTTAAACACTCAATTTTCTTTTCTGTATTTAAAAAATATTAATATATAAAGTATTTTATTTCACACTTAGAGAAAGGCTGCAAGAGTATCCCAAAGAACTCCCATATATTTTTCATCCAGATTCCTTGGTTGTTGATATTTAACCACATTAGTTTTTTTCCTCACACTTTATGTATGTGTGTGTGTCACACATTTTTTTCTGAACCATTTGAGAATGTTATAGACATGATACCCCATTACTCTTAAGTGCTTTAGTGTAAATTTCCTGAAGATGAGGACATTCTTATGTAATCACATTGCACTTTCAAATTCATGACATTAACCTTGATATAAAACTATCCCACTTAGTGTATAGACCCTGTTCACATTTTGCCTTTGGGCCCAATAAGGCTCTTTTAGCAAGGAAAAAAGGTTTCTTCTGGCCTAGGATTCAACCGAGGGTTATGTGTTACACTTAGTCATTATGTGTCTTTAGTCTCCCTCAATCTGTAAGTCCCCCAGTCTTTCCTTGTCTTTTGTGATCCTCATAGTTTNCACTTAGTGTATAGACCCTGTTCACATTTTGCCTTTGGGCCCAATAAGGCTCTTTTAGCAAGGAAAAAAGTTTTCTTCTGGCCTAGGATTCAACCGAGGGTTATGTGTTACACTTAGTCATTATGTGTCTTTAGTCTCCCTCAATCTGTAAGTCCCCCAGTCTTTCCTTGTCTTTTGTGATCCTCATAGTTTTGAGAATACTGGCCAGTTATTTTGAAAAATGTCCTTCTATTTAGGTTTGATATTCCTTCATTATTAAATTCAGGTTTATGCATTTTGGGCAGAAATAACCACAGAAGTGGGGATGTGTTCTCAGTAGATCATTGCAGGAGGCCCACGGTGTCACTTTGTCCTGTCACTGGTGACCGTCAATCCTTCAGTGAAGGAGATGTCTGCTGTATTTCTCCACTGTACAGTTAGCATTTTCCCTTTGAAACTTGTAAAATATTTTGTGTGGAGGTACTTTGAGACTATATACATATCCAATTTTCTCATCAGACTTTCCCCCACTAGTTTCAGTATCCATTGATCTTTCTTGCATGCTAGTGTTATGATCACTACCCAATGGTGACTCTCTAATTCCATTATTCCTTCTACACTTAGTTGGCATTTCTAGTGTAAAGGAGAACTTTCCCTTCTCCACCATTTATTTGATCTTTGTGGCTTAGTGGTTAGGATTCCATGATTTCACTGCCATGGCCTGGGTTCAATTCCTGATGGGGGAACTGAAATCTGTAAGCTGTGCAACATGGCCAAAAAATAATATAAATAAATAAAGATCCTCTTAATACAGAGGGAATCCCAGGTGGTGCTAGTGGTAAAGAATATTTCTGCCAATGCAGGAGACACAGGTTCAATCCCTGGGACAGGAAGATCCCCTGGAGGAGGAAATAGCAACCCACTCCAGTATTTTTCCCTTGAGAATCCCATGGACAGAGGGGCCCAGCAGGCTAAAGTCCAAGGGGTCTGAGAGCACTGAGCACTCACACATGCAGTACAGAGAAAATAATACATGTATATTTATATATACACCTATGTATATTCGATTATCTATTAAAGGTTATGAGTTCAAACTGGCATCTCAGATTCCAGTTCAGCACTACCGGGTTCATTCCAGTGTCCATCCTATCCATATTTGTAACTGTTCTCAAATAGTGACAAGCCTGTTTCCTCTTATCCTCAATTTATTTGCTTATTTCTTTGTACGTAACCAGTTTCTGACCCTTCCACCCTAATGCCCCCTCAGCCCTGCCAGCCCTGGCTGCCTCTATGGGAGAAAGGGAAGAGAATTCTAAATACTTAAGTTTTAAATATCCCTTTCTTACACCCACGCCAAGCATTGCTCCAAGCTCCCCTTCCTCTGTGTTTACCTGTTCACAGCTCATGGATTTTTTTATATTCATCAATTTAATAAGTATTTATTGAACCCTGTGGTGGAAACTGTAAATGCAGATGAAGTCAGTATTTAAGATGACCAGGCTAGTGGAATTAAACAGAAGTTCACTAATGTACACAGTCTGGATGGGCAAGGAGTTTGGGGGAGAATGAGTGGATATGTGTATATGTGTGGCTGAATCTGAATCCCTTCGCTGTTCACTTGAAACTACCACAACATTGTTAATTGGCTATACCCCAATACAAAATTAAAAGTTTAAAGAAAAAAAAAGGAGAAAACCTAACAGCCACAAAAAAAGTACACTGACCACTAAATGCACTGATTCAAGTGTGTTGGGGAGTACAAAGGAAGCGCAAAGTGTGTTGGGAGCATAACATGGTCTGGGCTTCTTGGTTCCTTCCCAGGAGAGGTAACACTGAAGCTGAATCGAAGAACAAACTTAAGGTGGAGGGAGAAGTGAGAGGGAAATAGGCAAGAAGAGACCAAGGCACACTCACAGTCATGTGGGTCATTTGCTAAACATGAGAAATGGGGGTGGAGAGAAAAACAGAGGCACCTCTTATCTTTTAGGATTTGGGAGTCTTTAGCTTATGTAAGGGAAAGCTATGAAACTGAAAGTGTTAGTCACACAGTCGTTTGACTCTTTGCAAACCCACGGACTATAGCCTGCAAAGCTCCTGTCCATGGAATTCTCCAGGCAAGAGTACTGGACTGGGTAGACATTCATTTCTCTGGGGGATCTTCCCGACCCAAGGATCAAATCCGGGTCTCCGGCATTGCAGGCAGATTCTTTACCATATGAGCCATCAGGAAAGCCCTAGTGTAGACATAAGAAGGGAGATCTATGGAGAAGAGGGTGGTTAAGGACAAAATCCTGACAAGCATCAGCATTTAAGGGGCAGGTTGAAGGAAAGCTGGGGTGGCAAGAGGGATAGGAGGAAACACTGGAGAAACTAGCTAATGCTCTCAGCAAAGCTAAGGAGGGAGTCGTCTCCAGGGTCACTGAAGATGAGGATGGAAAACTTCCCATTGGATCTGATAATTAGGAGGTCCCCTAGAGATTTTCATGAGTGTACTTTTCATGAGGTGAACGGGACAAAACTGAGATTGCAGTGGCTAGAAAATGGAGATGAACAATATAGTCTGTGCCCAAATCTTCTAACTTCCTCTTTCTTTTCTTTCCCCATTTGTGCTCAATTGCAATACAAAATTGTTCCCATTTGCTCCCTTGTATACTCAGTGCTGTATCTAAAACATAATAGTCACTCAATAAAATTTTGTTGCATGATAACCACCCCCCCCCCCACCTCTAACCCACAGAGGGAGCTGTAAGAAAATCACTTCAACCTGTAGAGGGAGATGAAAGAAAGTCATAGGCGTTGGGGTAAGAGGAAGGGTTAACCTATAGAAAGAGCCAGAAGAAATTCCTAAGGTAGTGTTAACCACACACTCTCACCTCTAGGAGGAGCATCAAGCTTCTTGTCTTCCAGGCATTCCCAAGGAAAACTTGAATGAGGAATCTTCATCAAGGAGTACTCCGCTTAGGTAATAATTATTCATATATACCTAATATAGACCTTCTGTTTGTGGCATGTGATACCAACTTTCCATTTATGAAAGCAATGTGAAGATTTCAGTTAACATAAACTTAGCAAATAATATTTTTAAAGACACGTATTTTAAAGATAAATACAACAAAGAAAAAGTGAGTTCACTTAAAGAAACATCAAAGTAAAATCATAAATCAGAACTTAGATCCAGGAATGGATTGGGTCACAGTGATGTATGGAATTGTTGGTATGAAGAGGTTTAAACTCTACTGAATCTATGGGAGATGCTCTTTGGGGTCCCTCTTTGGAGCCTCTTCTGGGATTCTTATTCTGCTCACTCTTCTATGAAGTGTGGTAAGAGAAGTCGGGCACTTCTGTAGCTTCTGAGAAGATACCTCCCTCTCACCTTGGTCTCTTCTTGCCTGTCTATTTCCCTCTCACTTCTCTCTCCACCCTAAGGGGAACTTAACAGGGGTTCTGGGAGAAGAAACCTAAAGAGTGCCTGAGGCCTGATTTCCTAGGTCCTGGTTTGCTTGGAACTGAGTGGTTTTCTGGGGAATTTCAGTGCTAAGGCAAGGAAAATTCTGGGCAAGCTGGGGCCAATTGGTCACCCTAAATGGTTTCTTGCCTGGCCTAGACGTGATTTTCTTTTAGTTTGTTTCCTTAATGATCTCTTCTGACTGAAGTAGAGGTGAGTGCTCCAAAGCTAAAATCAGAATGTTGCCCTCAGAGAAAGAAGCTTCTAGACTGGGTCACTGAGGTCTACTTGCTTTGGGCAAAAAGGAAGTTTGGTGTAATCCTTTTGGTGACTACACTGAAGTTTGAGGTGAAAGACAGAACTAGTAAAGGGTTTGTTTGTCTGAAGCTATTCTTCAGGCATTTATCTTCCTCTGGAACCTATGGGGGTTCCATATGGAACCTCTGAATCCTATGGATTGAGAGGAGTGGGGAACTGTGGCTGTTGTAAGTAGTGGGTCAAGATTCTACGATTTATAATCCTAATGTATATTTCCTCCTCTAAGGCAAAATTAACATTTCATAGTAGTGTTTTAAATTATTTTCTTTTTTTAAGAAGTGTTTTTCTTCATTCATTTAAAAATTATAAATTATGAGGGAAAAGTTCATTATAAACAGTT